GAGGAGGGTCAGCCCTTCCGCCTCTCGTTGCTTGCCCATCTTGCACAGCTCACGGCCGACATAGACCGACACCTTCCCTCAGTCCTCCAGGAGGGAGTGCCCACGGGCATCTTCGAGCCCATTCCTAGCAGCCATCAGTGGCCCTCCGTGGATGGGGGGCATCCACTGGACAGGTGCCTAAAGGAGTGTGACTCCAACTGGAAGAACGCCGAAGCCCAACCCGGCCTACTCCAGCAGCTCATTGACGAGGAGATAGCCCAGGGGTGGGTAGCCGAAGTCCACGGAGGCGAAGCCGCCGCACGCCTACGCTGGCCCAAGGGCATAGCCATCGGCAAGCTCAACGTTGTGCAGGCCGAGGGCAAGGACCCCAGAATGGTCCTAGACAGCTCAATTTGCAACGTAAACCCACTGTGCACATTGCCTGAACGCGTCTGCTTGCCTACATCGGCGGACGTTAGGGCCTCCTTCAAGCCCAAAGACCCTAAACACGCCTCCCAAGGAGCCGCCCTAGACGTTAAAGCCGCCCACAAGAGGGTCAAGGTCAAGCCCTCAGACCAAGGCCTATTGCTCTTCCGACACGCCAATCGCCTTTTCGCCTATGTGGTGTGCCATTTTGCCGCTCGCTTCTCAGCCTACTGGTGGCAGAGGGTTGGAGCCCTGCTTCTGCGCTTGCTGCACCACGTACTAGCCCATGAGCCTCACAAAGCTTGGCTCTACGTCGATGACTTACTGCTGTGCCTCCTCAGACATAAGGCCCCTGAGCAGCTAGCCCTCACAGTGGCTTTCCTCACAATCATCGGTGCCCCGATCAGCTGGAAAAAGGCGGCCTTCGGCGACCAGCTCATATGGTGTGGTTGGAAGTTCTGCTTCGCCACAGAATCCGTATGCCTAGCACAGCCCAAGCTAGATAAACTGCGCGCCCAGCTACTCAGCCTCCTGGAACATAAGCGCGTCCCCCGGAAAGAGCTCGAATCCTGCCTCGGCCTACTGATGTGGGCAACCAGCGTAAGCTCTCACCTGCGCTGCTTCGCCGCCCCGCTTTATGCGGACTTGCATAGCCCGCCTGGGACCCAATACCCTATCCCACCCCGCAGCTGGTCACAATTCCTTTGGTGCCTAGACTCCCAGTGCCGAGTCACGAAAGATGCCTCATACCTACAACTGCCCATCAAAGCCAAGGTGATAGAGGTCAAAGGGAAGCCAGTGTCGTCAAAAACGGATATTTGGCCCATCCCAGCTGCCGACAAGACTGTATGGGTGCGCATCGCTGACCCAAACGCACAGGAAATCACTCTACGCAATGACAGCAAAGCCGCTCTGCACTGGCTGGCCCAGTGCTTCACCCACGAATTCCGCATGCCACTAGCTCAGCCGCCCCTGCTGCCATGCCTCTCGGCCGCAGACGCCATGGCGGACGGCACTCAAGTTGGGATCGGGGGTTGGTTGTGCACATCAAGCCAGACCTTCTGGTTCGCACAACAGTGGTCCATAGCAGAGCTTCGCGCCCACTGGCCTTTCCTCACGAAGGATGCCCAGCAATACAAAGCCTGCTTCGAAACAATTGCCCAGTGGGTTCTATTACAAATGGCATACGCGGCCACTGGTTGCTCCAGCCTCCGTTTCTGCCTGCCCACTCTCAGCGACAACAGCCCCACACAAGCTTCAGTCAATAAGCTGTTTACCACAGCCTTTCCGCTCTGCCTTTTCCTGCAGAAGGTAGCCTCCTGGGCTCACGCCAAGGGTCTGAGCCTAGAAGTCGGGCATATTCCGGGCGTCAAAAACACGGACGCGGACGACCTCAGCCGAAACCGCCTACAGAAGTTCGCAAGCACGACCAAATCCCATAGATTCCACGTCCATCTGCACGACCTGGCTCGGTCGGAACACGAGGTCAGCCTATGGCCCTCGGACGCCAACTGGAGCACTGGCCTAGTGCAGGTCATACAGCCTTGCGAGTCGTTGATACCCTAACCCACTCCCCTTCGGGATATAGGGCTAGGGTTGGACTCCTCTCCCCAACTAGGGTTAGGTCATGCAGTGCTTGTTGGGAGAACGCTTCGGGTTTTTTGGTTCCCGTGTGTTTTCCCACGAGTGAATCATGCACCGTAATTTGCCATACGCCTAAACAAGCCTTGCACAGCTGGAGCATCTCCGGCTCTCAGCTGGCCTTGACCTAACCCCTAGGTGGGGCCTTCTGCTTTTCGCCCACCCACCACTGCCCTTGCGCACTCAAAGCATAACAACCAAAGCCTGGATCCGGCCGGATCCCGCCTCCCAAAGTGGAGTAGCCTTTTCAGAAATGCCCATTTGCCTCCCAAAGTGGAGTAGCCTCAGTCCCGCCTCGGGACTTCATCTCACCTCAACAGGGGGTTTGATGGCCTTACATGCTCGTGGGATCTTGCCCAGCCTTTCCCACGAAGCATTTCACTCTTTCGCCCAGAGCAGCACCGCTGAAAACAGGAGAGCGAGTCGTTGATACCCTAACCCACTCCCCTTCGGGATATAGGGCTAGGGTTGGACTCCTCTCCCCAACTAGGGTTAGGTCACGCAGTGCTTGTTGGGAGAACAAAAGCATTTCGTCGGGGCTAAAGACTCCTCCTAGTGTTTTGAGAATTGCCAGGGCTTTGCAAAAGGCAAAGGACAGGACGACCCCTGCGATTCAGGCAGATCAGCCTGCAGTCAAGACACATTTTTGGCGAGGAAGGAGGGCCCTGGCGAAAAGCATGAGCGATCCGGCCAAGGATGAACCTGATGTAAAAAAAGCAAGATGACTTATGAAGAAGCCCGGGCTCTTCGGTCCCAGCTGGACCAAGAGCTAGCAGCAGAAGTCCCAGCATAGCTTCCGAAATCTGAAGTCCAAGCGGAACATGACATGTTTGCTGTGCATGCATAGATGAATTTTAACATTCATTTTTGCAGAAGCGTGCACTAGCAGTCACTTGCAATTTTCCTCGTGATTTACAGAACAGTTTTGCAGAAGTGCGAAAACATCTCTGGGCTTTGATTTTTGGCATGCATGAAGTCGCTACTGCATTGCATGAAGTCGCAGCCGTTTCCGTGTATATGTATGGCATATGCACACGTTGAGCCAGGTCGATCTGTGTGCATGCATGCAGCACTCCTAGCAATGATCTGCAGTGAGTGCATGCAATTCATACATGCAACTCGATCCGTGGCAGGTATATATCTGGAAGTTCTTCCAGGAGGATGTCTGCACGATCCTCCTGAAAAGAAGGACTCCATGCTGCATCTTCTGTTGACACATTGAGCTGGCTGCCGTGTTTGTGTAAGTGCCGAGCGATCTGCTCATTGCTGCAGATGTTTTTCCTTTGCATGTATAACGATCACTTGATATCGAACGATCGATCATGGGTGCAGCACAGCAAGTGGGCCGAGCGAACCACCAGAACGATGCACCTGTGGCCCCCAACGCCCATGCCACGGAAGGCACGACGGTGGACATTCCTGGCATTGGCTCGGTTACCTTGAACGTGGTGTGCAAATCCGCCCGGTCTTCCGCCCGGTCCTCCACCGGTCCTCCACCCGGTGGCAGTGCAGCCGGTCCTCCACCCAAAGAGCCGCTCGGTCCTCCACCGGGTCCTCCACCACCGGGTCCTCCACCTCCAAACACGGCCGGCCACGATGTGCCAGCAGAGCCAGCAGAGCCTCCCTTCCCACCTGCGTGGGCTGCAGGGTCATCGACCCCGAATGCTGGCTACTTAAGGCCTTGTCTCAGCTGCGGGCAAACCTCGTACTTTCGGGAGTACATCTGCTCAACACCGACTGTGCCGATGCATGGCTGTGCATTTTATGTTGGAATTGTTCGAGGATGGATCTCCTAGAAAAATTAATTACAGGAGGTCTCCTAAAGACGGATCCGGATTACATGTCTTTTCAGAATGCAACCAAGTACAGCTACCTGCAGCACGAGGACCTCAACCATGCCAAACGCTGGGCAGGTAAAATGATCGACCCTGAGACGTGCAAAGAGCAACATCGCATGGGCCCGCAGCCGGCCGAAGAAGAACCGAGGCAGGAGGTCTCCTACTCTAGAAAGGAGGATCTCCTATTTTTGTACCAACCTGAATCCTATATGTGTACATAATGTAGCCTTTTATATGTCTTTTTATAATGAATAATATATATATATATATATAATGCTAAAATTCGGATCCCTGGAGGCCTGAAGAGGAAGGTTTATTGGGCCAACCGGCAGAAGGGGAAGCAGTGGAAGGGCGATGGGGATCCGACGATGCTGGTGGGGCTGGGGTTGGCGACATCGAGCAAGAGGAAGAAGAGGAGATGGAGGATCCCGGCCCGTATGCTGTGGTCCTGTGGAAGCCGCCAGGAGACCCTCGCAATGACGGCCCCGATGGTGCTGGGGACGGAGTGGTGGCCTGATCGATCGACGGCCGGCTTGCTGTTGAAAAAGAAAGATCGTTGTCCTTGTTGTGCTTCAATCATGCAACTCAAAACACGACTAGGGCTGCCTTGATCCGATGCTTCTGACCTGCAGGACACGCCCTGGATGTGCATGTTCGACAACACAGGAGCTGCTGCTAGAGCCTCCTTCATATGTTCTTTCCTGGTTGTGCTGCTAGTGTGCATGAATCGTTCTGTTCCCATGATCATCCATGGAAGGAATTCGTCTTCAATGACACCACAGGAGGTGCCGCCTGTGCCCTCCTTTTGTTTCTTTGTGCATGGTTGTGCTACTGTACACAGGAGGTCCGTGTCTTCAAAAGCAGAAACCTCCTTATTGATTAAAACCCTTAAACCCTTAAACCCTTTAAAACCCCAAGCCCTCTAAACCCTCAACCCGACCGAAACCCTTAACCCCTAAAGCCGAAACCCGAAACCCTTTCAGGAGCTGCCGCCAGTGCCTCCTTGATATGTTCCTCGCTTCCCTGCAAACGAAAACCTTAAACCCTGCAAACGAAAACCTTAAACCCTTTAACCCCTAAACCCTTAATCTGTAGTGCAGTTCGATTGTAGCTATCATGGCTGCTGTGTTTCCTGGCCACGATGGCTTTTTGCTCTCATGGCTGACATCTTTGCTGCCTTGCTGGTCTTTGGTCTTCGTGGCCGGCATTAAGAGAGGGCAACCCGTGGCCAAACCCGCACCCAAGGCTGCCAAGAGCAGCCTCAAGCCCAAGAACAGCCCCCCAGAACTCTAAGCCCGAGGTCAAAACAGAATCCGACGCCGAGGATAGCCCTTTGGCAGGTGTAAGTGCTGCAGACGTGAAAAAGATGCAGAGCAACCTGGTGACACAGGGGAAGGCCAACGTGAAAAAGTTAAAGGAATACAAGGCTGGCTCCCTGACTTTGTCCCAGCAAGAGGCCGAGGTCCTGGAGGGAAAGGTCAAATTCTACTTGGAGTACAGTGGCCTCGCTAGGTCGCAGAATCACGAAAAAATGATGATGCTCGGCAGCTGGGCCGGGGACAGGACCGGCAAGGCTTGGCTTTAGAGAACCAAACAGCACGAGAATGAGGTTAAGACGACAGAGGGCCACCTGGCTGGTTACATGACTCGTGTCTGGGCGGCATGTGGAGCTGTTTCTCTTGGGGTTGGCATGCACTCTTGGGTCTGCTATAATAAGGAGGCACCTTTTTCTTTTGGTACTGCAGGCTTTGAGATTGCGACGCACGAGGGCTTGAATTGGGAGGACAAGGACCATAAGAAAAATCCTGAATGCAATCCTTGCCGAAACCCCGTATGATTATGAGTGGGACACCAACAGTGCCAGGGAACGTGGTCTGCACAAGGCCGGCGAAAAACGATTTCATTATGGGAAGCGAAAGCACACCGAGACAGAGTTCACTCGGAAGGAGACAGACGCTATCATGGGTGGGTTCGATGTGCAGGACAAGGACAAGGCGGCAAAGCTGATGGACGAAGCTTCGTCGTCTGCAGCAGGCATTGCTGTCACCAACCCCCGAACTCGTCGAGTTCAAGAATCAGGTCGGGGTGCTCATGTCGGGCAAGAGCAAGCTTGAGAAGCTGGAGATCGTCTTGAAGGATTTGCTGGCCAGGGCTAAACACAAAAAAGAGGATGTCCAGACGGATTTGCAGACTGCTCTCACCGAGCTCGACACATGGATCATCGAAATGGAGCCGATTCTGCCAGCAGCATCCTGGCGGACGATCGACTCCTTCCTGCAGATCTTACAATTCTCAGGAAGACGGGCCTTGTCGATACCATCGATGTTCTCGAGGGCGAAGTCGTCTCCAGATCCTTCAACATGATTGAAATCACTGTGGATCATCGTATGTGCATCATGATATGTTAACATGTAGCAGCAAATGTTTTGCAAAGCTCTTTCCAAAAGCAGAGCTGGCGATTCATATGCATGTGCCGTGTTTACAGCTCCAAAATGGCTTTGGCCTTCTTCTGAATCCTTTGGGCAGCATCCTGGTGCACTGCACCCTCAGAAATGCATTCGGCCACCTGAGCCTTGAGCTCTTCGGTGACGTCAGCAACAGAGCTCCAGGCATGCAGCTCACTGCGTTTTTGACTCAACGACTCCTATAGTACTGCTCGGGCCGGGCATTCGTGTATACATGTTTTTGGATCGGGTGCAGTGCAGAACAAAAAGGAGGGTGCCCGCTTTTGGATCCATGGACTCCGTGTTCTTGTCTTTCAATGCGACTGATCGACCGTGCACTGCATGATAGAGTATGTAGAAATGCAGCTGCTATGAATTCCAAAAAGATCTCAAATTCATTTGAGCCATGTCGACCCGAAGAGACGACTCGGAAAAAGGTTGGGAATTTGTTCCTGAACAATGCCATCTCTGCAGCAGAGACTGGTCGTTTGTTTCGTGATGCTGAGGCCAGTGGAAGTGCTCACGTCGATCATCTTGCTCGTGTTGGTACGAGACGCTAGTGACAGCACAGCTCGACACAAAGAGCTGCTGAATAATATGAAGGTAAATCGACACTGGCCCAAACAATACGTCCTCCAAGTACCTTTGTGGAATCATAAGAAGCAGAGAGAAGAACAGGGAGACATCATCATGTGGAGACGAGATTGCTTTTGTTTTTAAGGGAGGTTGGGGGTGGGACAGTGGAGAAAGAGGCTTGAATGGGACTTAAAGGGAGGTTAAGGAGGGGCTTAAGGGGAGCTTAAGGGGAAGCTGAAGGGGGGCACCACGTGTAAGACTGTTTAGGATTTTTCCGATTACAGCATGCCCAGATATTATATTTGTTGCTCCCATGTAGCATGTGACTTGAGTGATCTGCAGGCGTCTTTAGGATTCAAAAGTTTTTCATGGAAGCGGAGCTCGAAAAGTCCGAGCTTCGAGACACGTCGTTGGAGTCTCTAGCATCTTTTGGGTGCGTTCGGGGGCCCAGGCTTTCTGATTCTTCTTTCGGAGTCCTTTGTCGGAAGTGAGCCGTAGCTTGCGCCATATTGACCTGCCGGCTGGACAGCTAGTTGGCGTCCAAGTGACTTTTGTGAACACGGCAACTGTTGTCAGTTGCGATTCGCTTCAAGAGCTCTTTGGACAGCCTGTATCTTGAACAAGTGTTGAATTGGCCCAGGCCAGCCAACAGAACTGAATACGGGTGGCAAGCTGTCTTGGTAGGGATCCACACTGTTTCCAGAAGAAGCTGGAAACTCTTCATACGGTTGAGCAAGTTTGGTGCTTCGGAAACACTTGCTTGAAAGATCAAGGCTTGAAGGAGAACTTTATAGATCTTGGTATAGACCGAGTGTGTGAGGAGGCGATTCCGTTTGCAAAGCAACTTCGCTTCGTCCAGGCAGAGCAAGAGGGTCCAAATTTCGAACGAGACCTTGGATTGATCGAACAGTTGTTGGCAGAGGACAGCCGGCCGACGTTTAAGAGAGCGTTGCAGTCTTCGCCATCTGTTATCGATCTGTGTGAAACGCAACCTGCCAAGTTCCAAAGATCTTTAGTGCCCCAGACCGAAGCTGTGGATCTTGAGAGTGAGTTGAGAGATTCCCGAAGTGCTTGATTGTTGCTGTGATGGCATCGCAAGATGACATAAGCGATCTTGAGGTTGACCCTGGCCAAGGCGTGCACTTGCCCCAAGGTGCACAGGCGAGCCAGGCTTCAGCGTCAGCAGCACAGAATCCGTTCAGCCCTGGCAGTCCGCAAGCGCAGGGTATGTATGTGACGCCAGATGATATGATGACCATGATGAGACAGATGATGGAGGCGACGACTGCAGCAGCAACCGCTGCACAGGCTGCCCTGAGTGCAGCAACGTCGCAAGGCAATGCAAAGCAGGGAATTGCAGGCAGTGACATGGCCCGCATTCTCCCGAAACCCGATGTGTTTAAGCCTGCCACGAGAGAGGAAGAGCATGGCATGTGGCTGCAGTGGTTTTGGAGCCTCAACAGTACTTGTGTGCCCTTGATTCTGCTTTTGGAGATGAAATTGCATATCTTGAGCAGCACCCTGATGAAGAGGGTCAAGGGTATAAAAGTCCTGAGGCAGCCCAACGATCCAAGCAGCTGTTTGCACTCTTGTGCAGCCTTGTGAAGGGCAGGGGCCTGCAGCTGATCCAGCGAGTGCCTGCCCAGTCAGGCTTCGAGGCCCTGAGGCAGCTCATCCAGCTGTTTCAGCCGACGTCGAGAACGCGATCGCTTGGCATTTTGAGTGCAATCACCAGCATGAACCACTTCAAGGGCAATGAGCCATTGTTGCCTCAAGTCTTAGATATGGAACGTATCTTTGAGGAGTATGAACGCAGTAGCGGCAAGAAATTGGACGATGATTTCAAGACCAGTATTTTTCTTCGTTCAATCACCCAGAGCATGCGCAACCATCTCGCGACAATTCTTACTGAAGATGTCACGTATGATGCCTTGAGGGAAGCCGCCTTGCGTTTTGAAAGAATGAATGCCAAGTGGGATGCTCGCAATCTGTTTGCAGGAGACAGCCTCTTTGCCAACAGGAGGCAACCTGCAGGGCCTAACGATGGGCCCGTGCCGATGGAGGTCGATGCATTGCAGCGCAAGGGTAACCCTAAGGGATATAAGGGTAAGCCAAAGGGTCCTAAGGGTGGTGGTTCACCTAAGGGTACTAAAGGTCCCAAGGGAGGAAACCCTAAAGGCCCCAAGTCCGGCAAGCCTAAAGGCAAGGGCAGAGGCGACAAAGGCCAGAAAGGAAACCCCAAAGGTCCTGATGCAGGCAAAGGTGCCCGACAGAATGTCATCTGTCATGCATGCGGCAAGCGAGGGCATTACAAGAGTGAGTGCTGGCAGAACGTGCAACATGTGCAGGGAGATGATGCGAGCACCACTGCCCCCAGCACGGCTGGACCGTCAGCGTCGCAAGTCAGGCCATCTCCTGACACCAGCACAACAATGCGTTCTGTGAACATGGTTCAGATCGACATGACGGGTGACTGGTGCGGTGGAAGCATCAATGCACTCACCGCGGACTCTTGTCCCGCTGCCGGGGATGATTTCCTCAAGGTTGTTAGGTCGCTAGCCCTGATCCCGCGCGGGTACCCTAGCCTCCCCAACCTTGTGCCAGTGCAGGAGAGCAACGATCTCGTTGCGATTGCCGAGCCAGAATGCACAGTGTTTGCTCAGGCGATTGCCGAGCCAGAATACACAGTGTTTGCCCAGCAGTGCGGTGTTGAGGTCTATGATATGTCAGCAACAGACGGTGATGAAGATTGGACCGTTTGTGATGGTGTGCTTCCTGCCACAGCCACTACGGATGCTTGCCTGTGCACTCCTCACTATCCTTCCAGCAACCCTGCTACGTTCTTTGTTCAGACAGTCCAGAGCACAGCAGGTCAGCAGGGTGGATGCAGGGATATAGAGATAGTGGTTGATTCGGGTTCGGATGCATCCTGCTTGCCACTGTCCTGGGGAGATGTGGGCGTTGAGTGTGCCAACACCCAGGAAAACTTCCGAGATGCACAAGGCCACAAAATCACAGGTTCCAAAACCCGCATGGCAGTGTTGCAAATTGGACACGTGCAGTTCAAGGAGCGGTGGCTGCTGAGCAGTGTCAGCCGACCACTGTTTTCGGTTGGCAAGTTGATGAAGCAGGGATGGAACATCATCCATGATGAGGACGGAGTGCCTCACTTGACCAGCCCTGATGCATCCTTGCGTGTGCCCATGCATTACTGCCACAACAGTTTGCACGCGACTGGAACGATTTCCAGCGTAACAGCATGCAATGACCGTGAGCCTGCCGTCATGGCTCTCGAAATTTCTGGTCCGTGGCTTGCGTTGAATGATCGGTTTCAGGAAGTGACATCAGGCGTGTATGCCAGGCGCGACATGTCCGACTGCCTTCTTGATTGCACTGTCCCTTTGACGCACTTAGGAGTCCAGTTCCGGACTACGCTAAGGCAAGAGGCGAGTGGCTGGGCTGTTTTCGAACTGAACACGCCGCTGAGCTCACTTGACCTGTCAGAAGCTTCCTTTGTGCCGAGCCGTATCCACAATATCATCACCATCGGATCATGCAGCAAAATCAACATCGATGAACTGTTTGGGAGAGTGCCGCCAGCCCGGCGAGACCATGTATCGGAAGATGCAGAGTCCGATGCAGGGTTACCAGACGTTCCGATAGGTGGAGTTGGCAACATAGCGGGACCCGATGACGAAATCCAGGAAGGAGATGAGCTTCCGGGGCAAGAGGCGGAGGAAGTGATGCAGCCGGCCATGCGTGCACATGTGGTTGTGGAAGGGGTTGAGCTTCATGAGGGATGCACCTTGTCCACATTGCGAGCTGCTTGCACAGCATTGGGCATCGGCAAGAGTGGAGGCAAGGCGACCGTCTTGCAGCGCATCCACAACTTCATGGACCGCCAGAGATTGCTCGAACGACACCAGGTCGAGGATGCAAGAGTCCAATTGCCCCGCGAACAAGCACCCGTTTCTGAGCCAACACCTGAGGAGGTGCGTCGCCACGCATTGTCGCATATCCCTTTCATGCCTTGGTGCGAGCACTGCATCAAGTTCCAAGCCCGTGCTGACCGCCATGTCCAAGCAAGACCAGATGTTAGGGCGTGTAGCACATGTTCGTTTGACTTTGCCTTCACTGAGCGTGAGACCGGTCGCCCCGGTGACAAGTTGATCTGCTTAATCCTCAAGGATTCACACACAGGTGCCACCTGCGCGATCCCTACACCAGCAAAGGGAGGAACCGTGGCGTTCAAGTTCATGGTTGCTGAAGTGTGTAAATTCTTGAATTTTTGTGGACATACGGAAATCGCCTTGAGATCAGACGGCGAACCGGCTTGTCTTGCTTTGCAGCAAGGGGTAAAAGAGTTGAGGTCGCGGATGAAACTTGATACGCATCTTGAACAACTGGAGGCCGCTGACCACCAAGCAAACCCCAGCGAGCAAACCGTGGATCAGCTCAGGCAGCTCACGGGAACGCTGCTAAGCCAAGTTGAAGCCGAGACTGGCCAAAAGGTCAGCACGATGTCTCCACTCCATGCGTGGGCGTGGAAGCACGCGTGTTGGCTGCAGATGCGCTACGGGCGCAGTGGATTTGCCAGTCCGTTTGAAGTGATAACAGGGCGCCCGTACAATGGCAAAGTTGTGGGGTTTGGAGAGGTTGTTTTCGCAAGGATTAAGAGTTCTATCAAGGGCAAAGCCAGATGGATAAAGATGTTGTGGTTGGGAAAGTTGGGGGTATCAGATTTGCATTTTGGAGTCACACCTGGAGGTTTCTTGATTTCCAGCAGGAGCGTCAGACGGCTGCCAAAGCAGTACGATGCATCTTTGCTTGAGTCACTGCGTGACATGCCATGGAGTCAAGCAAGCTTCCTTGCAGGGCAAGTCGGCCAGGCCAGAATGCAGAGAACCCCTGTTCGAGGAGAAGAAGAAGAGGTGCAACAGCCTCTGCCTGAGGTTGTGTTGCCTGAAAGACCACCACTTCCATATCCCGGTTATGTCCTGCCTGACAATGCACCGCTTGAAGAACTCATTCCTCCACCAGCCATTATTGCATCAGGCACACCGGAACCTCCTACGCCTGTTCAAACATCGGCCGAGACACCGCTTCCCACGGCTGCCGAGCCTAGCACGCCCATGCTTGTTGATTCCGATGCACCACCACCACAGCAGGAGGCCAGTGGAGCTCGCGCTTCTAGTGGTTTAGGGGGTGTTAGTGGTTCTAGTGAAGCGTTGGGTGCTCCTGGTCCGGCACCAGAGGCGAGGCCATCAGGGGCAGGCGGGGATGAGCAGCCAGCACCCAAAAGGGCACGAATCCGGTTGCGCTTAGATGCAGTTCAAGTGGACAAAGACGGCAACGAACTACACAATGTCGATGAACAGATTGAACTCTTCGATGAGGCTGCTGAAGGTTTCATGGACTGTGAGGAGTCCGAGGCTTGGGACAACTACGACGATGACGCTGGTGCGTCACCGAGTGCAGAAATTCCCAGTTGCTTGATCAGACCCTTTTCCCAAACGGAGCCACAATGCAGTCCGGAGGAGTTGCAATACATCGACGAAATCGCTGACAACTTTGCGCTGAGCAGACTGACGAACATGCACGTGCTGAGTGAAGTTCAGAGCAAGCTTGAAGATCACAGAGTTTTGTCGTCGAAGAGTGTGAGATCATGGTGGCCGAAAGTGCTAAACCAGGAGAAAGTTTGGGTTCGCAGAAGCAGATTGGTTGCCAGAGAGTTTGCATGGTTGGACAAAGGCAGAAGTGGATTGTTTGCACCGACCACTGCGCAAATCATGTTGCGCGTGGTGCCAGGTCTTTTCATGCGAATGCGCGATCAAAACTGGAGCATGCTATCGCTAGATATTGCAGATGCCTTTCTGCAATGTGCTCAGGCACACCCCACGTGCACGAAGGTGGGAAACAGATGGTTCAAGCTCGACCGCATGCTACCCGGTCAACGTGACGGGAGCGTCACGTGGTTTGCAGATTTCACAGAGGAGATCAAGCGTGCAGTTGGAGCTGAGTTGCTACCCGAGCAACCAGCACTGTTCAGACTGCCAGAGTCTGAAGGTGGCGGCATGGTGCATGTAGATGACATGATGTGCGCAGGACGCTCAGATAAGCTTGAAAAGCTGGAGAATCACCTCAAAAGCAAGTCTAAAGTGTCATCGGAGTGGATCCGAAACGTCGGGGACTGCGTCAGTTTTCTGAAGAGAACACACCGCCTGGTGAGTGAAGACCTCTTGGTCATCGAGCCAAACGTGAAGTATGTGGAGAAGCTGATGCAGGTCACCGGCCTTGCCGCTGCAAAGGAAAGGTACAAGGCGACTCCTTTTCCTACAGGTCCAATGCCTACAGACCGCGTGCCTGATCCTGAGCTTGATGCCGCCAGTGCATCAAAGTATCGCACCGCGGTGGGCATCCTGATGTACGTTGCTTCAGACCTTCCCGCTTGCCAGTTTGGGATTCGTTTCCTGTCAACCTATGCCCACTGCCCAACAGAGGGATCCTGGAAGCTACTGAGGCACCTGACCGCGTACATCAACAGCCACGAGAGTCATGTCGTGGGACTTGCCAAGCCGATTGTTGGAAAGGGTATCATTCGGGATTGTTCAGACAATTTGCATACCCCGTTGTCGATCCTTGAATGCTTCTCTGACGCCGACTGGTCTGGCAACCGCCAGACCAGAAAGTCAGTGAGCGCCGCTGTGGTGTTGTGGGATTCCATGACCATATATAGCCACTCGAAGACTCAAAAGAACATCAGTCTTTCCTCGGCGGAATCAGAATATCACTCGATGATATCCGCCATAGCTGACAGCATCCTCTTGAAAGCGTGCATCACCTTCGTTGCACCGCATCCACCTCTTGAGATCACTGCCTTCTGTGATAACAGTGCGGCCCGGACGCTTGCCTGCCGTCAGGGCGTCGGTCGCATGCGGCATGTCAGTGGAAAGCTGCTTTGGCTTCAGCAGAAGACCAAGGAAGGAGAAGTGGTTGTTAGACCCGTGCCTACGGCGGACAACGTTTCAGACCTCGGTACTAAAGCGCTAAAGGCAGACCGTATCTTGTACCTGTTGTCGAAACTCAACATGCGTGATTCCGAATGTGGGTATCAACTTGTTGGAGCAGAATACTTGTTGGATGCCCAGAGCAGACGCCAGTTGTGCCGAGTTATCAAGCAAGGGAGTGTCAATCCTCAAAGAATACTACAGGTTCTTGCATTGGCGTTGCAAGTCGACGCCATAGCAAGCGAGCAAGATGAGCCCAATGATGATCAAGACGCCTTGAGCCATGTGAGCACGAGCCTCTTGACTTGGATAGGCGAGAGCGTGACTGTGGTATTCCTTGTTTGTGCCGACCTCATCGAGAATCACCCCACGTGTGCGATGTTGTTCGGACAGTTAATGATGCTGGTTTTCTTGATCTGTGCAATGTGCTTTTGCCGGAGCCACCGAAGGTCTGAGCCCACAACCAGTGGGAATGCAACAATGCCAAAGGTTGAAGTCAACGTAGTGGTTGATAGGTCTTTGGGTGTAGGGGATAGGGATAAGCCTGAACCCGCCGAAATCCCTAACCCTGACCTGCCACAGCGAGAGAACGAAGGAGACGATGATCAGCCAGATCCGACAGCTGCATCGTCGTCCGCGCCACCAAATGCAGCACCGGTGAGTGCAAGCACGTCTTGGAATGAGGTTGAGGCGAATCTTAATGCTTGGTTGCGTGAGAATGCCCTGCCAATGCTCGAACAGGGCAACGCGCCGCCTCGAACACCGGAACATCCGTCGGTGCAAGATCCAGCAGAGAATCATGTTGTGTTCGTGACTGCGAGTCGTGGATATGCATTCCACCGGACACGTGAATGCCCAAAGCTCAGATGTGCAAAGCGAATTCTGAGGTACAGCAAGCGTGAGGCCATCAGGCGAGGTTTCAAGCCCTGCAAGGAGTGTGGAGCATGATACAGCGCAACTTCTTTCCACTTGGAAATGTTCATGATGCTGCGCAGTGGTCGCATGTATATAGCTTTATGTACATAGCTTGTGATGCTCATGAAACTTCACTTGCTAATCCTCGTGGAACCTGGGGTTCAGCAATGCACACACATTCTTGCCCAATCCTGTTCATTTCCGACTTCGAATGAGATACTCCGAATGCCTTGATGTTTGGGAGTTGGTCACCCAAAATCTCGTGCGATGGCAGATAGGCCATCACAATCTCCACAGTGCAATGCCACGTGTGTCCACCTTGCTTGCCATTCCGACAGTGTGCAGCATGGTGAAGGTCTCCGCTTGGGCCAGTCAAGCATGCAGCACAGTAGGTGCTAGGTACAACGTAGTTGTAGCCTAAACCGAGCCAACGACCCATGGGCAGAGCTCGAAGATGCAAAGACATTCTGCAGTTGTTTCACGGGAGCATTTGAAACTAAGTGTCTTGTTGTTTCTCATACCTGGGCATCGGGAATCCTTTGAACCAAAACTCTTCGCCTAGCTTCACACTTTTGGAGGCGGGGTGTTTAGGATTTTCCCGATTTACAGCATGCCCAGATATTATGTTTTGCAGTTGTTTTACCTGTTGCTCCCATGTAGCATGTGACTTGAGTGATTCGAATCTGCAGGCGTCTTTACGGATTCAAAAGTTTTTCAAAGACGCAGAGGCGTGGCCTGATCACCAATAAGTCCTTATGGCCTGGGAACGACAAGGAGAGGACCTCTGAAGAAGGCATGGCTGCCACCAGTCAGACCTAGAAGGAAGAGACTACATTGAGTGAACGGCTGAGAGTGGCGTACAGGAATACGCGCTCCGCTTGCGGATAGAGTGGTCTTTGATTTATAGGTGCCCCTTCCCCCTTTTTGAAGAAGGGGCAACGCAAAACTGTCTTTAAAGTTTCTGAGTTTTCTACCACGTGTGTTTGCAGATCTTGCATGGGCATGATTTATGCAGACGTTTTTCATGTGTTTTTTTCGGGGCTTCGCAGTAGGCACAGCTGCTTGAATTCTTCTCTTGTGCAAAATGCAAAGTGCTTGTGCCGCGCTCAGCCCTGCTCAAACAGAGGTTCGTGGTCGTTTGCATACATGGCACATGTGCTTCATTATCACATTTGCTGGCCGTTCTTTAGCGAACTCTTGAGCACATTTGTCAATTTTTCCCTCCATGGGCGACGGCTCGGACACTCTTGTGGAGGTTGAGGTCGAGGACGCCGACTTTTCTTCCTGCTCTGAACCTTTCAGTGTCGAGTCCGTTGTCCTCGAGCTGGAACGTGAGATCGAGGGCGAGCGTGTGGCCCGCGAGGACCTGGCCCGCCGCGTGCAGAATCTCGAGCGAACTGTCGCTGCCCTGCAGTCTCGCTGTGCTGATCTTGAGCAGGACGTGGAAGTGGTTTCTACTCGACTGGCGTCCGTCAACGCCTTCTTGCACGGCTTCATCAGTCGCTTGGGACAGCTCTTCCGCATTGTCATCAACCGCTTGCCCACTGGCTTCTGAACAGGCTGCCCTGATGGCTTCTTCCTCTAGTGCTTCGGGCCTCCCTGGCCATTCGGAAGGGGGAGAGACTGGGCCAGCGTCCCTCAGCGATGCTCTGGCTGATCCGTCTGACTTTCATTCGCGACTGGTGGCGGCCGAGACGCCGGCAGTTTTGGATGCCACCTCCATCAGTGTTTCAGAGTTCTCTTGGCACGCACACCTTCAAGAAGCCCGAGTCTTACCGCCCCTCTTGCCATGGGAGAGGGGCCCCTTGACTTGGGTCTTTGGAGAGCCGGCTAAAAGATCTCGCATCAGCTTACCAAAGGACTTCGCTGCATCCCCCCTGGAAAAGCATGGGACAGAGAAGGCTCCCCTCGTGATCCATCAGCCAATCCCAGATTTTGCCAAAAGGAGGCTCCGTGTTGCATCTCTACTGGTCACCCAGGACACTTCGAGATGGGAGGCCCTTCGCAAACTTCAAGTGCTGGTGCTTCTGGACCCTTCGGCGACTCAAGTTGGGCAGGTGTTGGCGGCTGAGGCGTCTTTGCTAAGGGACAACAGTTTCTTACAGCGAGCCTTTTCCGATGTCTTCGAGGGGAAAAGCACTTCTACACTGGTGAAAAGGGCTTCTTCCTTGTGGCGCTTCGCCAACTTCTGCATCGACGGTGGCTTCGGGAACCCGCTTGAGGTCTCGGAGCATGCTCTGTACCAGTACATGTTCCACCTCGAAGAGCACGGAAAGCCAACCACGGGCTCCTCATTTCTCCAGGCTTGGAACTTTGCGCTTCACACCCTCAAGTTGAACCGTCCCAGGTCGCTGGGGGCGCTGTCAGCAAGGGTTAAGGGTGCAGCCCAACGGATGTACTCGAAGAAGCGCAAACTGGTGCAAGCCCGACCCTTGACTGTGAAGCAGGTCAAAGCCCTGGAATACGTCGTCCTCAAGGCGCCCTACATTCACTGGAAGATCATCGCTGGCCACCTTCTTCTGTGTGTAGGGTCCAGCAGCCGCTTTGGGGACTCAATTTGCCTGGCAGTCCTCAAGGTTGAAACGGCGCAGGGCTTCACCTTGGTCGAGGCTGAGAGCTCAAAATGGAAGACCGGAAATGCTGCCTCCCGGCGTGCTCAGCTGCTTCCCCTCGCTTCTCTTGGGAAGTTTTTCGCAGATGCTCCGTGGGCCGTCGAATGGATGGCTCTGAGAGAGAAGCTGGGTTTTGGTCTAGATCCTGCACTTCCGGCTTATTCCGAGGCGACTGGCGAGTGGCTGCAGCGGCCTATGTCGACGGGCGAGGCGACCTTATACTTGAGAGAGTTTTTGTCTGCTGCATCTCAACCATATGATGGTGTTGGCTCCCACTCCCTCAAGACGACAGTCCTGTCGTGGGCCGCCAAATCAGCTGAAGTGCCCCTGAGTGACCGCCGCCTGTTAGGGCATCACGTCGATCCAGGCGTGGCGTCCCCTTTGACATATGCGCGGGATGAACAAACCCGCCTCATGAGGGTTGTACATCGCCTCGTGGAGAGAATCTGCAAGGGCCACTTCCGTCCAGACGACACGAAGGTCTGGCGCTTAGCCAAGCTCATCTCCTCCGATTGTGGGGGCGATGCCCTGGCTGAGAACGTGGTGCAGGGCGACCCGGGCGTGCCGGAGTCCGATGAGGAGGACGATGACTTCGATGAGAGGGACATGGCCGCGAACACAGGGGTCATTTCAACCCGTGAGCCCATGAGCGCTGCAGAGCTTGATGCCACAGCTGATTGTCGTATGCACGTATTTTCCCGTGTGGTGCATGTTTTGGACGGCAATCGTTTTCTTTGTGGTAGGAGTTGCTCGCAGAACTATTCGCCGATTGATGTCAGTGTACCCCTTTGTGACTTGCCTGTGTGCGCTCAGTGTGCAGCCCGAAAGGGGGCCTGACCGGATGTGCTTCGTCGGAAAGTGGTTGTCTCCAGTATACTCCACTTGAAGCTGGATGCCTCCATTCCCCCCCCTCCCAGCTGACCTTCGGGCGTTGAGCTGGCCCGGGGGGGGGGGGTTGCTGCATGTGAAGCATGGCACAGTCCCGCTGACCTTCGGGCGTGGGGCGGTGCGTTTGGTGCCCGGTGTGGTGCAGACTAAAGAGGCGAAGGTCACTTTCTGCCATATGTGCGATCTAATTATACTGGCACAGTCCCGCTGACCTTCGGGCGTGGAGCGGAGCGTCTGGTGCCCATGAGCGTAAAGCCTCAGGCCTGTCTTCGAGCATGCCTAGCTTGAGTTTCTTGTGAGCGCCGGCCTGCAGCTGTGCCCCGCGTGGTAGTTCCTTTCTTGGTTCGCCATGAATTCTGCCATTGACAGCGAGGCGACCTTCACGGCCCGGGCCCTCGAGCTTGGCATGGAGAAGGGCTTCTTAGACTTGTTGATCAAGGCCAATGTGAAGTCCCTGGGTGCGCTGGCTTTCGTCAGCCCGTACCAGATCGGCCAAGCTGATGAGAAGCCCCTGATTGATGCTGTCCGGGATCTCATCCGGCGGGATGTCACTACGCGGGAGCTCATCCCGCTTCGACGCTTGTGGTTCGAGGCTAGCACAACCGTCATGGGTGAGCTCAAGCAAAAGGTTGAGCGTCAGGACTCGGCTGAGCCTATTCGCCTGACCATAGCCGAGAGGACCACGAGGCTGGAGGAGCAGAAGAAGCGTCTCGTGGGGGTTTGCATCACGAGTGAGTCCGAACCGTCTCATCGCCTCGTGGACCTTGTTTTCCAGCAGGGTGCTGATCAGCAACTTTCTTGGATCCCCTGGGAGCGTCTGACTAGCAGGGCTCATGAGGTTACCCACTCTCGCAGTGACCTCGGGCTTCAATTCGATGCTGCTGGAAATCTCCGCCTCACCAAGAAGATGCAGGAGAGCTCCTGCACGCTTAGCGGGGAACTACAAATCCGCCAGGCCCTTCAGAGGCGCGCTCTGGCGTACGACCTCGCTCGTTTGTGTGATTTCTCGGCCATGGAGTTGTACCACGAGGAGCTCTTCTTCTTGCTGACTCGAAGCCCCCCGCAGGGCTGTCTCTACGTCACCATGGCCCAGGTCCGCGAGTCCGACAAACAGCTTTTCGTCCGGCTAGCTGAGAAGACTCGTGGTGCTTTGACTGCTCGCCCAGATGGCTCTAAGCCTTTGCAGGTGCAGCTCGAGGCCCTAAAGAGCCACCCCCAGGTCCAGTTCTGCCTCATCCCGGCTCCGAAATCGGCCCGCTTCCAGCCCTACGAGCCGCCTGAGGGTCGCTCCGACCGTGCCGCTGGTGGCAAGAAGGGGCAGCCTCCCAAGGGCAAGGGGGCCCAGACCTCGGGTGGGGGTGGCAAAGGTCCCTCCACCCCCTTCGAGCTGCCGCCGGGCTGTTCTTCTCAACATGAGGGCAAGCCTGTGTGCTTCGGGTTTAACTGCAAGGGCTGCAAGTTTGCTAAACCAGGCAAACGCTGCCGTCGAGGCCTGCACGTATGCTGGAAGTGTTTCGCGCCGCATTCCTACACTGCCTGCCCGCTGGCAAACTGACTAGCCCTCACGAGCTCGGATACTGGCACTTCGCTGACTTTGGCCCACCTTCTCCAGGTCTTCCACTCTTTGCCGGGTGAGGAGGCCCCTCGCAGCGGCTCCACCGATCAGAGCCGTGTTTTCCAGGCGGGGGCGTATGTGCATGGTGCGTTAACTGGTCTGCGTCGCTCGTGCTCCTTGTATCCAGAGGCAATTAGAACATTTTGCTCTTTTATTTGTGAAAAGACTCCTCCGGAGTTCGTGTTTAGCAACATTGCAATTTTCCAGAACCTGCGTACTGAGCTGCATCGGGATAAGAATAATTTAAGGGCTACTTTGAACTTCGCGGTGGCCATTTCGGCCTTCGAAGGGGGCCAAGTTTGGATTCAGGCTGATCCCGCATCCTCGAAGTCGGGCATTTTGCTCGATGTGACGGCCCAGGGCGTCTACTTCAACGCCCGTGAGCGCCTTCATTGCACATGTCCATGGACCGGCTCACGCGTGGTCGTCGTTGCCTTCAGCCTGCGTGGCTCCGATTGCCTGCCCAAAGCAGAAGCCTTGACCCTTAGTTCTTTGGGGTTTAGGGTCCCTTCCCCTGGCGTTGACAACAGTCACTTGGAGTCCTCTGGCCGCCCCTGCTCCGAGCCGCCAACTGCGGTGCCGCCTCCCTTTCGGTTTAGGCCCCCTCCCCCGGGTATAGTCCCCATGTGCACCCCCGCTGAGACCTCTTGGTCCGCGGGCTCCTCAGCAGCCACACCCGCGCCCTCGAGCTCCTCCCCTCCGTGCACCCCCGCTGCGGCCTGCTTGCCCGCGGGCCCCGACCCACCCGGCGTTGCCGCCTTCCCTCCGGAGCCGCCTGGGGGCAACTTGGCAGCTCCGACGTTTGTTGAGCTGTTTGCTGGTTGCGCTCGTCTCAGCTCTACTTTCGCAGCCGCTGGTGTGCCCGCGTTGGCGGTGGACGGCCCCCGAAATCAGCACAGGCCTTTGCATCCTGTCTGGACGCTCGACCTCACCGTGCCCCTTTGTCAGCGCCTTTTGCGTGAGCGCCTTCTCTCTGGGCGCCTTTTGGGCATTCACCTTGGCCTCCCGTGCGGAACTGGCAGCCGCGCTCGAGAGATCAAGCTCCCAGCTCATCTTTTGCGATCCGGCGCACCGCAGCCTCGCCCCTTGCGCGATGCTACATACTTGCTGGGCCTTCCCGGCCTTTCCTCTGCCGAGCAAGCCAAAGTTGACGCGGCGAATGAACTCTGCCGCTTCGTTGTTTCCCTGCTGCTGGACGCATATGCCAAAGGCTGGACCGTGACCATAGAGAATCCGGTGAACTCCTGGATGTGGAGTGTTCTCGCCTTGTTTGTTCGGCAGACCGGGAAGCGTGCTTTTCAGAGCTGGTATGCAAGCTTGTTCCATGTTGACTTTGACCAGTGTATGTGGGGTGGCCATCGAAAAAAGGCTTCTCGCTTTCTCACCTCCGCATCTGAACTGAGAGGGCTCGTGGCTCCCTGTGACGGTCGGCACACACATGCACCCTTTCAGATCTACCGCAAGGCGGGGGGCTGGCAGTTTGAGACCGCTCTGGAGGCCGAGTATCCCGCTGAGCTGTGCTTGCAGTATGTCTCTCTTCTTGGGGCCCGCATGAGCCTGCCTGCACCAGCCCCCAGGCGGCCTCTACTCCGCCAGCCCCGCCGCCGTCCTCCGCTGGTGCCCGAGTACAAGTTTTTCACTCATGTTCGCCCCCTTGAGGGTGAGTTTCGCGAGCTCTCTTCTGAGGGGGGAGGAGACGGGAGCCGCTCAACTTTTGCAGTCCTGCATACCAAGCAGGAGTTTGTGGCCAAGGCCTGTCAGGTACCGCACCCCTTTGATGCATCTGACTCCATAGACGACCAGGTCAAGAGGAACATTTTTGAACTGTTCACTGGTGGCTTCATGCCTTCGGCCAGGAAGAGGCTGTCTATGCAGAAACGTCTGGCCGCCATGAAAAAGGAGCTGGCGGTGGAGGAGCGGCGCTACCAGGCTTCACTTCCTCCACATGCCCAGGCGGTCCTAAAGGGCAAGAACATCCTTCTTTGGCGCAAGCTGCTCGTGGAGACAGGCTTCCCCGACCTGGACGCCCAGGAGCTCATGGAGGGGGTCCCCTTGATAGGAAGGCCAACGAAGTCGCCGCTCTACGACTGGAAAGAGATCCCCGCAACGTGCACTAGGGAGGACCTCCTCGCTTCCTCAGTTTGGCGGAACAAGATGCTTTCGGGAAAAGGGGCTGTGGGAGATGATGCTGATCTCCTGCACAAGGTCTGGCTGGCCACTGAGAAGGAGGTGGAGAAAGGCTACCTCATTGGCCCCTACGAGTCCCTCGAAGACGTCAAGGCAACCCTGGGCGCAGAAGAGGTTTGCTGCAGCAGGCGTTTTGGTGTTCGCCAGGGCTCCGGGGATTCTGAGAAATGCAGGCCCATAGATGACTACAAAGAGAGCGGGGTTAACACGGCCTACCATGCTGTGGACCTACTTCAGTTGCATGACGTCGACTACCTAGTCAACCTCTGCTGTTTCGTGGCGAACGCTGCTCATGACGACGGCTTCACCAGGGTAGGGCTGTCGGATGGCTCGACGCTCGTGGGGCGTACACATGGTGATCTTCTGGGGGGGGTCAAGTGGCTGGGGCGTTGCTTGGACCTGGAAAAGGCCTATAAGCAGATCCCGATTATGGCCAAAGACCTCGTCTTCGCAGTCTTGATGGTTTGGGAACCTGGGTCGGGCTCGTGGAAATACTTCATCTCCAGGAGCCTCCCCTTCGGATGCTGCGCGGCGGTTTACGGTTTCAATAGGGTTTCTAGGTCGTTGCTGCACCTGGCCCTGCATCTCGCCGGCATGATCGGCGGGGTCTATTTTGACGACTTCCCTTTGCTTGAGCCGGCCCCCACTGCAAGGATGGGCTCCCTCGCCATCGAGTGCCTTCTGGACGCCCTGGGTTGGTCGTACGCAGTGGGTGATGACAAGGGCCGCCCCTTTGAAGAGACCTTTGACCTGCTTGGCAAGCGACTCAGTGTTGGGGAGCTTCTCGCTGGTCAGGTGGCCTTGGCAAACAAGCCTAGCCGCGTTGAGAAGATCCGAGCCCAGGCTTCAAGGATGGCATCCTCAGGCTGCGTCACTCGCAGGGAAGCAGCCTCCCTGCACGGCCAACTGAACTTCATGGTGGGCTTCGCGGCTGGACGAGCCATGAAGATAGCCTGCAGGGCCCTGGCCAACATCTGCTACATGAACCGCTCTCCCTCCGTGGAAGAGGTGAAATCGCTGGGGCGCTTCATCCTGAAGACACTCTCTGATGCACGTCCGAGGACCTTCTCACTCCGGGCGCAGGGGAGCCCGGTCTCCATCTTCACTGACGCGTCCTACGAGAAAGGCGTCGCCCGCTGGGGGATAGTTCTGCTGGACCAGAGCTCCAATAGAAGATGGGTGGCAGCGGGCGAGATCCCGCCCAAGCTTGTGGACTTCTGGCTGGCAGAGGGCATCGAGCAGGTCATCTCTCAGGCGGAGGCCTACGCGCTGGTTCTCTCGAGGCGGGCCTGCGCCTCGGAACTGGCCGGGAAGAGGTGCATCTTTTACGTGGACAATGACGCCGCCAGGTACACTTGCATTAAGGCCAGCAGCCCCTCTCGTTCTCTACTGAACTTGGCATGCCTCTTCTACGCCAGCGAGTCGGCTGACGGCATCGTGTCTTGGATTGAGCGCGTTCCTTCTGCAAGCAACGTGGCCGACCTCCCTAGCAGGGGGGAAGCTGCGTTGGCAGCGCAGATGATTGGAGGTCAGGTCGTCGACTTCTCTCAGGCTGCGCAGCTTCTAGCAGATGAGTGCATGGACCTGAGCGACCTTCCCTGGGACCTCCTCTCGTCCTCGAGCGGAAACCTTTGGACACTGCCTTTCCTCTGAGCCCGGACGTTTGAGGGGGGAGATGACGGGTCCGTTGAGGGCAGTGAGTACAATCTCCGTATGGTCCCTGGACTCTTTGGCAAGGTCCGTCGAAGGGCAGGGAGCTTTATGTCCCATGAGCCCTTGTGCCCAGCCTTACCTTTTGAAAGTTCCCCTGATCCGAGGCAACTCGCAGTGACGCAAAAGGATTGGAATCTGAGCGTGTTGGGAAGGGTTCGCAATTTTTTACATACTGTCTATTCTTTATGAACCTCTTCCTTTATACATTCAGATGTCGACAGTTTTGTAAATCCTAAAGACTACGCGCTCCGCTTGCGGATAGAGTGGTCTTTGATTTATAGGTGCCCCTTCCCCCTTTTTGAAGAAGGGGCAACGCAAAACTGTCTTTAAAGTTTCTGAGTTTTCTACCACGTGTGTTTGCAGATCTTGCATGGGCATGATTTATGCAGACGTTTTTCATGTGTTTTTTTCGGGGCTTCGCAGTAGGCACAGCTGCTTGAATTCTTCTCTTGTGCAAAATGCAAAGTGCTTGTGCCGCGCTCAGCCCTGCTCAAACAGAGGTTCGTGGTCGTTTGCATACATGGCACATGTGCTTCATTATCACATTTGCTGGCCGTTCTTTAGCGAACTCTTGAGCACATTTGTCAATTTTTCCCACCCACCCACCCGGGGGGAGATGACGGGTCCGTTGAGGGCAGTGAGTACAATCTCCGTATGGTCCCTGGACTCTTTGGCAAGGTCCGTCGAAGGGCAGGGAGCTTTATGTCCCATGAGCCCTTGTGCCCAGCCTTACCTTTTGAAAGTTCCCCTGATCCGAGGCAACTCGCAGTGACGCAAAAGGATTGGAATCTGAGCGTGTTGGGAAGGGTTCGCAATTTTTTACATACTGTCTATTCTTTATGAACCTCTTCCTTTATACATTCAGATGTCGACAGTTTTGTAAATCCTAAAGACTAATATTCGGAGAACCATGAACAATATGTTTTCCTGACAAGTTGCAATATTTAATGCAGATATGGCCAGAGATCGCGCCAATGCGTTGAATTGGTTCGTTCGTGGAGGCTGTGTTGCTTCCCGTCTGGTCCTCCTGGCCGGGGGGCCTTGGAGCAGCCCCCCCTGAAACGGCCAGCAACCTCCAGCGTACCGGGCCCATAATTGGGGGTGGAGGCGGGTCTGCACGGCTCCGAAGGAGCTGGGACCTCATAATACTTGCCCCACGCTGTGTGGTGTTTGGGCTGCACGAATCGCGATTTTCAACGCATAATTCAACGCTCTTGATGCACGCTATTCGCTCCCATAACGGGGGGTGTTTGGCGCATCGAGTATAAATCCTTTTACATGTGTGCAACGTCTGATGTCAAACATTTCAGGTTAGGGCACGAGCATGGCAGGTTTTAGTGGCTGATGATGAAAGGTGAATGATAATATGTCGACGACGAGGACAAGGAGACCATAATATGTGATGAATGAGGATGATGGCGATCTGATCTAATATCTCATGTTTCAGTCATGTTCGTGCAGAAGTCAGACATGTACAGTCTTTGTTTATTGAGATTTGAGTCTGAGCATGACAATGACAGCAGCTCAAGAGCGCTCTTGAAGCATCAAAGTAGAAAGAACTCTTTTGCCCCCTGCTGTATAGTCCCCGAACTTCGCTCTGTGCTTTGCTAATGCTGGTAAGCCAGGGAAACCTAGGCGCCAGGGGAGGTGGAGCCGGAGAGCATAAGTTGGCGACTAATAGACACCACAAGGGAAACCTAGGTGATATTGGTCAATACGCTTGTGCACCCCTCAGGTCTTGCAAGCCTGAGTATCCTCTTGTACTCGCGATACAAGGGTGGCTTTCTGTTGGGAAAGGATTGGCCCCTGGACCCGACCCGTTGATAGGGATACTATCACCTGGACAACAACATCAACACCTACACCTGTTTATAGCGATTCTCCTTCCAGCCCTGAGCTAATACCTGTTGGCGCGGGCAACATTTCTTGAATAGTTTGTCTATTCCATCACCTCTTGCACCACGATTACCCCAGGTCGCTGCCGGACGGGGCCAGCTTGATGCTGTTTCCTCTCTTGTCTCTTTGGATTTGCCTTTGCCTTTGGAGGAGTTACGACCGCCCGATTTGGAGGAACGACCTTTGCCAGTATTTCTACCCTTATCGGAATAGCGACCATACGAGGAAGGATCCAGATTGTGATCGGTCATAGCCCGCGCCACAGTGTTGTGTAGGCCGCTTCTACTTTGTAGGAGAAAACCTGGGTTGTCTGTGAGGGTGCGAACTAAATCTTCTGTGAGGTCCTCTGGGTAAACTTCATAAGGGAAAAGGCTTACTGCTTCTTTACCATTGAGGCTACTGAGGTCGTTGGTTTGCCGGTAATCATAGCGTAGATTGGTAGTGCTGTACAGGGCTGCGCTGTGAAACTTGAGGGTTGCGAGCATTCTCTTCTCAAAGGCCGTGGGGAATGAAGCGACTGCGTGGGATTTATGGTGAGGGAGGATAAACAACTTGCAGATCATGGCAGGGCCAACTTTGAGGTAAGCAACCTGGGCTATCAGATCCCCAGGTACATCATTCTGTCTATCATCAGGAGTCCACAACTGAAGTGAGTTCCAATCTGGCCTAATGTACTCTTGGGACAAAGGAGCTGATCTTCCTTCCGGAATCGCCTCGGTCAGGCAGGAGATGAGTGCTTGAAGGGGTTGTCTTTCTAAGCGTTCTTGAAAGGAGAGATCTCGTTCAATCTTGATGTGATGCATACGTTCATGCTTGCATGACGGTGTTTTATAGAAACATGTCAAACAAAAGCAGTGTGCTTTTGGTCCATAACGTTTTTCCACTAGGTCGCATGTTGTTTTATTTGTCTGATGATTTGGGAAGAATCTTGCTGTTTATGTGAGCATGTTGTTTTGCATAGGCAAGATTTAGGCTCACGCGAGAAGTGAGGCAAAATTTTTCTTCTGTGAACCGGGTTCTTTGTGCCCCAACAGGTCCTTGTAACCGGAACTCCCACCTGACGTTGACCGCTAGGGTCCGTGCACGCTGGCTCCCGTGGGGGGCCAGCAGATGGAGGCACCCGAACAGGTTCCAGAGGTCTTGTCCAGTGCAGAGTCTAGCTCCGTCAGCTCCGTTAGTCGCCTGGAGAACAACCACATTTACCTGCATCGGCAGTTTCGCACTCTTGTTCGTGTTGTGGTGCAGTTGTCCACACGCGTGGCTGATCTTGAGCATCGCCTGTGCCTGCAAGCCGTGTTCAGTCACTGCAGTCAGAGGGTGAGGCAGGTTTGTCAGGTGCACCTTACGAGAGTCATTTGCTGTCATGTGCAGGGAGGCATCAGTCCGCTTGGAAGCAACCCTGGGAGGCAGGTCTCCTCACACATTCCACAGGTTGCAAGCCACTCTGTGCTAAGGGTCCCATGCCGCTTACCATGCTTCAGCAAGAGCAGGATGTTCCCGAAGCTGAGTCCCCTGATGCTCCTCTTAACAAGAAGTTACGCTTGACCCAGGTGCATGACAAGATGTTTAGGAGGACTTCTGGCATATCTCAGACTTGGGCAGTGATTGTCGACGAGGAGCGGAATCTTGCGGTCAATAAGTGGTTTTCTGTGGTGGTCCTCGAGCCACTCTGCTTCACCGTTGCCAGGGCTTTCTTTCAGTCCAAGACTTTGGGTTTCAAGACTGGTCCCTTGTCACAGTGCATTGCTGATGCGTTGTCCATAAAGGCCACTAGTACCTTGCACACCAGGGCCAATCACTTTCTGCGTTTCTTATCGTGGACGAAGACAAAGGGTGTTGTGGCCCTCCCGCTCAGTGAGGCATGTGTGTACTTCTACTTCCAGGAGCAGCCAGGTGTTTGAAAGTTGGGATGGCTCAGGCTGAGATTGACAAGCTTAAAGCTCAGGGGCTGACGACACTTGCAAAAGTGGCATTTTGCTGCTCGTACACGCCTGGCTCTGGGGATGATCAAGAGTTAATCAAGGCCTTGGATGCTGCGTTGGGAGCTCCTAGCTCGTTGGGTCAGCGCAGTGCATTTCGCAGGCTTTTTCACGAGAGTTTCGCCGTCACAACTGCAGAGATGAAGACTTTGGTGGAACAGACCGAAGAGTCTACTCCGCGCAAGTTGAGTGTTCCAGAGCGTGCAGAACGTTTCAACACCATCTCCAAAAGGCTCCCCGGACTCTCTATCCGGAATCGTCTGGAGCCCAGTGACAGCATGATCGACAAGTTCGTTTCTTTGTATGAGCAGAATCGCTTGCAGTTCGTGGCCTGGGACAGAATGACGAGTAAGGAACAGGAGATGGTGGTGGGGTCGCAGCGTGAGACAGTCCTTTCAGTCGACTCTTCAGGCAAGCTGAAGACTGAAAAGGGCGACCCTGCCAGGGCTGAGACGTCTTCCGAGCTTCTGATCCAGTTTGCACTCACACGCCGAGGCATCGCCATGGAAATGGCAAACCTGCTTGACTTCAACTGTCATGAGAAGTGGGTCGAACGTCTCCTCAGCGCCAGGCTGGACACTGTGCCGTCGACCCATGTGCAGCCGACATTCAGTCAGTTGCAACAAGCAGACCGAAAGCTGTTTCAAGTGCTTGCGGAGAAGACCCGAAGCGGTGTGCAGATCACCTCTGCAGGGCGGCCGCTTGATGCCGTGTTTGAGGGCGCTTGGCAGTCTCCTGAGGTCCTGCATCTTCTGCAGCCAATGCCAAAAGCAGTGGGTGGTACCCCACAAGGTGTGCCGCCTCCACCAGAAGGTGCAGCGGAGAGGCAACCGAAGATCCGTCGTACCGGGAGCAAGGCTGGCAAAGGTCCTGGGCGTGGGAAGAGCGGCCAGGGCAAAGGCTCCTCGAGGGTTCCAAGTGCCCTCGCAGGGACCCGATCCCACACTAATGCAGGTCCAATGCAGGTGAGCCAATCTGCTTTGGCTTTGGTTTGCGGACATGCAGAAACACGGTGTCCAAGGGCCGCTGTGAGAAGGGGCTCCACATTTGTGGATGGCCCAGATGTGGTAAATCCCATCCAGCCCTCGATTGTCCTCTGGCCAAGAGTCAGCAAAACGAGACCAGCTCGTGACTGGCCAAGGGGCCTGAGGTTGGGTTTGCCTCTCAGGCAATACCGTTCATGTGCGTCTCACGCACGTGATGAGGCGGAGCTGCCTCCTCGGGCCCACGAGGGTATCAGTAGAGCCGAGCAATACGTCGTTGCTGGCGGCGAGGCACGCCAGCGTGCCAAGCCTATGCACGTGAATTCCAGTTTTCTTTCAGACCTTTTAGTTTTCTCGAAGCCAGAGTCACACGATCAGACAGGAGCCGAGCAGTTTGCACTGCGTTTGCTACGCCATGAGACCATCTCTGTTGAGGACTTGTGCGCTTTGTGGGAGAAGCTTCCGCAGTCGCAGTCGACACCGGCTTTGGGGCTGGGGCCTATAGTCATGGCGGGGTTGCAGGTCTCCGACGGCCCACTAAGGACTTTCCTCTTGCCAGTGCATGTTTCGCGGCGTGGCTTCGACATGTTGCCCCAGGGGCCCCTTTCTCCAGTATCATGCTGCTGTGTAATGATGCCGCAGGTGTGCACAAGGATGTTCATAATGGACCCTTCGATAATGTCGTTAATGTTGCACCCTCTTTAGTGTGGGGGGCCCCCCCCCCCCTGAACAGTGGAGGCGTGGATGGGAGCCTGATTACACGGCCCCGGGACTCATATGATTTTAATAGGGAGGAGTTTAGATAGGTTCAAAAGGGGCAGCGATGCCCAGTTATCTTTTTTAAAGGCGCGCCACGTGGAATTTTCTTACGGCGCCCGGACGATTTGACTTTAAAGAGGGACTCCCAAACAGTCAGGGTGTCCTGAATAATTCGGCCAGATTGTCTTTAAAGAGGGGGCCGATACTAAAGCGGGTGCAACATTACTCCTCTCACCAATTTCACAGGTGAGGGGCTGGTTCTAGTCGGTTACACTGTCAGGTCATTGGAGGCCCTGAGTGCCGCCGATGCCGCATACCTGACTAGATTGGGGTTTAGGTTGCCTTCCCCGCCCGTCCCTGCCCTTGCCTGCCCTGTCCCTTGTCCCGCCAAAGACCCTACAGCAGTGCCGCCTCCAGGTGACCGTGCACCCTTGCGCAGCGTGCCTCCTGCGTGTTTATCAGCCTTTGTTCCTTGAGCTTTGCTGCGGTTCTGCCACTCTTTCGGGTTTCAGCGTGTTGCCCATCGACTGGGGTCGCAATGTGCACAAGCCTGCAGTTCACCCTTTGCAGCTTGACCTTCGTTCCCGTGCTTCCTGGGGTTTCGTCAAGGATTTAGTCAAGTGCCGCAAGACCTTTTGGGTGCACGTGGCACCGCCCTGTGGCACTGCCTCCTCTTGGGTTGGACAGTGGCAGTCGGGCACTTGGATTGCCGATCGGTATGAGTTGGAGGACACAGGATGGGGCTTCATTCCGCTGCATGTGCCAGGTGCTGAAGAGAGCTATACACTACAGCAGTGTCTGAACTTTTGGCATCGTCGGCCATCGCAAATCTGGGGCGAACAAACTGCGTGTGCTTGCATTGCCTGAGACTCATGTTTGTTTTGCGTTGCAGCGGTTTCGACGCAACTCAGATGTTGTTACGCGATACAATGGGCGCATTTCTGTTGAACGCAGGTACATGCTTCCTGTTCAGACGACAGATGGAGTGCAGCTGGTTCCCTTCATGGTTCAGGCAGTGATCCTTCATATGGGGGAACGTGCAGATATGGGGCACTATCGTACTTTGCTCTGGTTTGCCGATGACGTTTCCTACCTGACTGATGATGGTGTCAGGGCACGGAAAATTCGCAAGTCTGATGCTGAGCTGATTGAGCGTGGCAGTTACGTAGTTTGTCTCACTCGTGTGTGATACTTTTCGTGTCTTTTCGCTGACTGCCCGCAGACACCCGTGTCGGGGTAGCCACGCAGGCACACGTGCCGGTGGTTGAATGTACATAGTACAGTCGCTCGAAGTGACCGGGCCTGAAAACCAGGCTTGTTCAGTGCCACATGCGCGCTTGGTGGAGCTTGACTCGCCCGCGTCTTCAAAGTCAAAGTCAAAAGTCACTGCCAGCATGGCCCGTGGCGTAGGACGAGGCCCTCGTCCGCTCAGATCGCCGCAACATGTTTGGGGCCTGCCTGGGCTGATGCCTGTTGAACTTGGGCGTGTCACCAGCGCCAACTCCATCTATGAAGAAACTGCGGCCTTCGTCGTTTGGATCCTCGACGATGCCCCTGATGTGCTTGTAACTGTGGAAAACCCTCTTCACAGTTTGATGTGGATGCTTCCCCCGTTTCAGTCTCTTCTGCAAAGATTGCATCTTGTGAGCTTTGATGCCTGTCGCCATGGCTCTACCAGAGCCAAAGCCACCGGTTTTCTGACCAATCATGATGCATTCAGCTCGCTCAGTGGCCCGTGCCCTGGTTGTGTTCAGCACGATGCATGGGGTCAGACGCCCGATGGCGCATGGAGCACCAAGTTGGAGACTGCATACCCACGTCTCCTCTGCCAGCGTTTGCTGGCTTGTGCTGCACCTGTTGCTGCCGCCCGTGGCTTGCAACCTGACCGGGATGCTGTTAACCCACATGCCCTTGCGCGCGCCGCTGCTGCTGTGCAACCTAGAGGACGCAAGTTTCCGCCGGTCATTTCCGAATTTGCCTACACAGTCGCCGTGCGCTCGACTTCCGAGCCTCCCTTGAATGAGAAGTCCGCCTTGTCCAGTGCTTGGATGATGTTCCGCCCCATGCAAAACTTCTGCGCCACGTGCTTGATAGGGGGTTGGATACTCAGCTTGCAGAAGGTGGCAGTGCTCTTGCACGTTCCTCAGAGGAGATCTCCCAAACAAGTGGCATCGCACGTTCCTCAAAGGAGCTCTCCCAAACAAGGGGCGGTGCACCTACGACAGCGTACACTTTCGGAGTATACCGCACGCCCATGCAGTTTCTTGCCGAAGCCAAGTTGATCACGCATCCCTTTGACTCTGCCAGGGCACTCCCCGACCCGATGCTCAGGGTCTTGTTCACGACGCTCACCAAAGGGCCATTGGAGATCATGAAAATTGGGCTTGCAAAACTGAAGCTTTGGAAGCAATGGGCGGCAGAACTGCAACCTGAAGAACGGGCTCTCAGGAGCAGCATGGCTCCGAGTGTTCGCAAGGTTTTGGGAAATAAGCGCATTGCATTGCTACGCAAAGTTGCCGAATCCCTAGAGTGGCCTGACACGAGCGTGTTCGGCGAGCTGACTGAGGGTTTCCGTCTGACGGGGTACATGCAGCGTACCGGTATCTTCACACCTGATGCGAAACCGGCAAACAGCACCGAGTCGGAGTTTTGGCTCGCTGCTCCGATTCGCAGAACCACGTTATGGGAGAAGGTTCAGTCGCAGCCAGAGCAGGACTACTCTGAGGCCATTTGGAGCCTGACGTTGGAGGAGGCGGACCAGGAAGGCAAGGCTTGGTTGGAAGGGCCATACGGTACGCGCGAGCTGGACGCCATGTTCGGGGGTGTTTGGTCCCCTTGCAGACGGTTTGGCGTCTGGCAAAATAAGTGGAGGGCCATTGACGACATGACCGAGTGCGGTGTCAACGCGTGCTTCGGTTGCTTTGAGCGCCTCTCTTTGCGGGCGCTTGATGAGTTGTGTTGGACTTGCCTGGCCCTCATGCGGGCGGCCAAAGCTAAAGGGCATGTGTGCTTTGTCCTCAGTACAGGTGAGCGATTGGAAGCACCTCTGCACAAGCTGTGGCATGATTGTGAGCGAGTTCGACCCGTGACCAAGACGTTTGACCTAAAAGCTGCTTATAAGCAGCTGCCGCTTCACCCAGAGGAGCGGACCAAATGTGTGATCACCGTCAAGTCGCCAGAGAATAGAGCAGCTAAGGGTTTTGTTTGCAATACATTACCTTTTGGATCATCTGCTTCGGTGATGCACTTCAACAGGATCTCGCTGCTCTTGCAGCGAATCCTCTGGGAGGTTCAGGTGTTGGCTACTTGCTACTATGACGACTTTCCAGTTGCATCGCCGTGTTTCCTAGGGCAAGGCACCGACCAAGTGGTGCATGCGGTGATGGATCTTTTTGGCTTCGACCTTTCCCTTGACAAAGAACAACCCTTTGGCACTGATACCGAGACGCTTGGTGTCATGGTAAACACCGCTGACCTTCGTTTTGAAGTCGTCACCGTAGGGAACAAGCCGGACAGAGCAGCGGCGATGGTCAACAAGAATGATGATGTTTTGGCAAAGGGCGCAGTTGTCACGCGTGAAGTTCCTTCAGTGCTGGGACGGCTGCAGTTCTCTAAGGCGCAACTGCTTGGGCGAGCTGGGAGATTGGCGCTGGCTGATTTGAGGGTGCTGGAGCAATGTGCAAGCCAGGAAGTCACTCTTAGTCAGACTCACGTCGATGCTCTTCTCATGCTTAAGCGGAGGCTTGTGGCGTCGGTCCCGAGGGCCATTCTTACTTCGCCGTGTTCGTCGCCAGTGTTGGTCTTCACGGATGGAGCGTGCGAGCCGTGCGAGCCGTGCGGAGAAACCTTCAAGGCCTCTATCGGCGGGGTGCTCGTCGATCCTCGCGCTCAAGTTGTAAGGACTTTTGGGGCAGTGCTGCCTGAGTGCGTGGTTAGCAAATGGGCATCTGGCAGAAAGCACATCGTAGGTCAAACCGAGCTCTATGCAGTTGTTATGGCACGCGTTCTGTGGAAGTCCACGATCGGGGGACAGCGATGCTTCTTTTTCGTCGACCATTCTGGTGTCTTGAGCTCGGTACCTCGCGCGACACCAGCTGGAGAGAGTTGCTGCTACATCTGGAGTTGGCAGATGAGGCCAATCCTTGTCTTCCCTGCTTCCACAGGGTTCCCAGCCATAGCAACTTGGCAGACCCACCTTCGAGAGGGAGGTGGGATGAGCTGAGTTTCCTATCCAACGTCGTTGCGGACAGCGTGACATGTTTCCTTTCTGATCAATATCTTCAACTTAGCACAGTCGAGAGGGGTGATATGCGTGCATCAGTTGTACGCTCGAGTCATGTGGCGTTACACTCTCAGTGTGATGTGAGCACTCTCAGTGCTGCAGCGTGGCACTCCAAGTGTCAGTCAACTTTTGAACCTTCCCCTGACTCGGCTGTGCCGTGCAACAAAAGAGCAAGGAGCGTGAGTCCTGGATTATAATGTGAATGTTTTGCTCTTTTATATTCACGGATGTGGAGTGAATTTGAAATACGTTATGGATGACATGGTCTATAAGCATACGTTCATGCTTGCATGACGGTGTTTTATAGAAACATGTCAAACAAAAGCAGTGTGCTTTTGGTCCATAACGTTTTTCCACTAGGTCGCATGTTGTTTTATTTGTCTGATGATTTGGGAAGAATCTTGCTGTTTATGTGAGCATGTTGTTTTGCATAGGCAAGATTTAGGCTCACGCGAGAAGTGAGGCAAAATTTTTCTCCCACCCAACCCGCCCTTGGGGTGATATGCGTGCATCAGTTGTACGCTCGAGCCATGTGGCGTTACACTCTCAGTGTGATGTGAGCACTCTCAGTGCTGCAGCGTGGCGCTCCAAGTGTCAGTCAACTTTTGAACCTTCCCCTGACTCGGCTGTGCCGTGCAACAAAAGAGCAAGGAGCGTGAGTCCTGAATTATAATGTGAATGTTTTGCTCTTTTATATTCACGGATGTGGAGTGAATTTGAAATACGTTATGGATGACATGGTCTATAAGCATACGTTCATGCTTGCATGACGGTGTTTTATAGAAACATGTCAAACAAAAGCAGTGTGCTTTTGGTCCATAACGTTTTTCCACTAGGTCGCATGTTGTTTTATTTGTCTGATGATTTGGGAAGAATCTTGCTGTTTATGTGAGCATGTTGTTTTGCATAGGCAAGATTTAGGCTCACGCGAGAAGTGAGGCAAAATTTTTCTCCCACCCAACCCGCCCTTGGGGTGATATGCGTGCATCAGTTGTACGCTCGAGCCATGTGGCGTTACACTCTCAGTGTGATGTGAGCACTCTCAGTGCTGCAGCGTGGCGCTCCAAGTGTCAGTCAACTTTTGAACCTTCCCCTGACTCGGCTGTGCCGTGCAACAAAAGAGCAAGGAGCGTGAGTCCTGAATTATAATGTGAATGTTTTGCTCTTTTATATTCACGGATGTGGAGTGAATTTGAAATACGTTATGGATGACATGGTCTATAAGGTCGTTACCATAAGTGTCTTCTTCCATACGAAAGTATCTCTTACCGGAGCGGAATGACTGGAAAAAGGTTTTGGCGTCGAATTCTCGGAGCATCACTATCTTCAAAAAGTCTGAGGTCGTGGTGTGCAAATGATTCGTAATCGACTGTACACAGTCCCAATCTAGGTATGCGTGTCCGAAAAGAAAACGCATGTTGTGATCTATGGCTTTCTTGTTGACAAAAGGAGGAATACCGTGGATGATGAGCGTGCGTTTGTGCATGTCTGCCGAAATGGCCGTATTTCGGACTGCTGCAAGGAGAGTCTACGATCAGCTATGGCAAAGGTGTCCGGAGATCGTGAGCTGTTCTCTTTTCTATTGATGCAAGGGCAGGCATGACATGAGTCTGGTGGTATTCTGCTAGGACTTTCTTGAGGTTATCCGGGGTAACTTCTGGGAGCGACTGCTCTACCGTAGCTGTTGGAACATTTGACGAAGGTCCGGCCGGAGAGCTCTGGGCCGGGGGAAAGGCCATACTATTGACGTCCAGTCGGGGTTGCTTAAGGGGCTTGCGGCTTGCCTTAAATGCTCTTAGGGCTTCAGAGTTATCTTGAAGGAATCGAGCTTGTTGAGGGTCCATGTCACCCCATTCAATGGGCTCTTCGTCTTCCTGCTTGACTGAGGAGGAGAGTTGCCTGGTACGATCAACTAGAATACCTGTCATAGAGGAGATATTGGAGGAGACATTGGCTTTACTTGCTTCAAGGAGCTTGTCAAAATGTGGCTTGGGGATAGCGCTTTCCATACCGCCGGTGCTAATAGCGTAAGTACCATCAGATTTCTCGAGGATCTTAACATCTGGGCCGAGGATATACTCTTTAGGAGTTTTAATTGCAGCCAAGGGTTGATTTGCCGGCACATCTGCAGGAGCTGCTGTTTCAGTTTGCTCAGTGACAGGCGCGGGCGCGGATTCTCCATCTGTCGGCGCCACGGATGCTTCCATGGCTATCACAAGCGCAGTCCACACACCGTAGGTAGCGAGGCGCAACACAAAACAATAAAACAAGGACAGTGAAACCACCCTGAGATCACAAACGCTGTAAAACATAATAAAAACATGGAAGTGTGGTGTGCCAAAATGTCGCCCAAGTTGTACCCTACAGTGCAGGGGCTCCCACTTTGGGCGGTAGGACAGCTCAGTGCTCGAGCCTAGGCAAAGGATTATTATGACAAAACCAAGAAGAAATACTTGAAAAGAAAAAGGAAAAGACTGAAGGCGAATATTGTAGGTGCTGTATTATCAAAAGCAGAACAAATTCAATGTTATACATCAAAGAAGCATATTAAGAATAGACCAGAATGATTAAGTTCATCATTAGTGACTTGGCTGATTAAAGCATATGTTCGGATAAGAATATCTAGCCATCGTATCATATCATAATATGATTGTTACACCGACTTCATATAAACATATGGTAAGCCCACCCTGCTACGCTTCATTTCGCTTTCCCACCCTTTTGCCTACGGCAGATATCATAACCGATAGATTTTATTTAGTAACTGTAGTGTAAATATGTAATGTAATAATAATATGAGTGAAGTTATACTTAAAAAATCGTGTAAAGCAGGAAAGAAATATGACACTGTCATTGATGGTAAAAATGACTTTTTCATCTGGAGCAATGATTTTGCAAAACGCAAGGACGAAGAAAGAAAACAAGGACACATAGCCAGACACGGTGCTACACAAACATTTAAAGACATAGAGAAACCGCAGACTTGGGCAAGATACATTCTATGGGAAAAGAAAACAATACCAGAAGCACTTACGAATATGGAAAAGAAAATTACTATAGATATAAAAATGAAGAAATGAAGACGTATAAAGTGATTCATATTTGCCCGGGTATTTAGTGCACGCGTACAAGGACTTCTTTTGCGTGCCCTTTTAGTATTCTTTTCGCTCACTATATTCGTTCGCTTGTCTTGTTCGTGCGTTGTCTTCGTAAAATCACGCGTCACAGGTTCCTTGTATTTTACTTCGTTCTCTTGGTAGTTTAGTATTATTATTCGGGGTTCACTTCTCACCCTTTGAATCTAATGCACTTCGTTCATGTTTTCACTTCGCTTATTATCTTCACGCGTGTGAGTGAACGAACGCGACGGGCAAAGAGCGCCCTAATTTCGCTTCCTTATGGTTCGTGTACTCGCTTACTTCGTTCATTCATAAACTCACTCCTTCTAAAGGTAAAGCCAATCCACAGGCTCATGGTGTACCAGCTATAACTTCGTGACCCTAACTCTCATATCTTGGTCTAACTCTCAGGCTTTTCCAGGTCATCTACAGTTCACGGATTCATGCACAAGGAACCGCCCCTAGAAACCGTACCATCATGAGTCTTTCTACGTGACAGGAACTCTCTTGACAAGGAACCCACCCTCGGGACCCCAACCGCCTGTCTAACCTTCCGGAATCTCCCTGTCACATCCTGGCGCCCCAATAAGATTCACGCTTTTCATATTAAAACGAAGGCAAACTAGTGCGCGCTTCGTATTAATTGAAACGCGAGTGAATATTATTAGGGGAAAAGACCACACATCCAGTACTAATAGTGTTACCGGGGCAGCAACCGTGAACACATGGGCGAATTATACCAAAGGCCCGTCATAATAAACTATGGTTTTTATACGGGCTTTTAGTATAGTATATTCGCCCATACGTTCACACCCTTGGAATCGCATGCCAGGTTAACCGTGTAAAAGCCCTATTAATATTATACTAAAGGCGTGAACAAAGGCAAGTTTACGCGCGCTTTGCTCACGAATTTACTATTATATTGGGCTTTTATTGGGGCGGTCTCAATGAGTGGTGTGTCCGTACGCATGAAACGCAACCATGAATAATATTATAGCGTGCGTCCCTTAAGCCAAAACGAATGCATATATAAATATAAATGTCTATATATATATATATATATATATATATACGTGTGAGCTGAGGGAGCTCCCACGGAGGCGCAGCTTACCGACTCTTTTACACAGAAGGCCACACAAAGAACTGCGTAGTCTCAGGGATTGGTGCTGAGCACAGGTGCTTTGGCTATACATCTCGATTTTAAAGATGCCTGGCACAGCCTCCTACACAAAAGAGCCTCGAGCGGAAGGCCGTAGGCATCGAGATCACACTTGTCAACACACTCTCCCCCTCGGTAGGCGCTAGTTCGCCTGACGATCACAATGGATCCTGCTGTAGGATTCTTGGGAGAAAAGTCAAAAGCGCCCCCAAAACAGGGTCTTACAGGCCTGTCCGGAGTTGCCTCCGCTGTTCATCGGCCCTTTGTATGAGATCAGCTCGGGAACGCGGGTTCAGCAGATTAAGATCAATTTCAAGTTCAGTGCGACCGCGCCATTGGCGATCTAAGTAGGCTTGACCCGCGCCTGGCACTCGCCAGTTGTCATCTACGATTTGTGTTTCCATGTCAGCATACATCAGAAGAGTCCTCCTTCTTCCGGTGAAAACACGAAGCTCGTAAGCACTATTTGTCCTCACTGGGGAAAACATCCTGCGCCGGGGACCAATATGCCACCGGACGACCACAGTGGACCTCCCGCCCGACGGAGTTTCGTAAAAATCATCGCCGCCTGCAGGCGGCAAAAGAAACAGCGCACTTTCAGGCCCTCCCCACCCCGATCTCACCCTCTCGATCTCGACCAGGGACATCTGTACAGGCACCGGCCAACCGTGGCGAAGGCGGAGTGGAGGATCCGGAAATACAATACTACAGGGTCGAGGTAAGCAACATCATCAACGTACCTAAACTCTAGAGGTTCGCCCTGCGGTACAGCAGCATCATGGGCATTCAGCTGCGCTGCTTGAGCATCTAGCAACATCGCCCACTCCCGATCCCGAGCAGCTGCATAAGCATCATGTTCAGGCTCCGGCTCTGGAAACCTAACGGGCATGGGGGGTCGGTGTGGGGGCATAGGAGGTGGCAGCAACTGCTCATCGTCAGCGTCCACCCTCGTCATCTCTGGTCGGCGATGGGCCTCAAAAGGGAGATTGTCCTCCTCAAGAGGCTCAAACTCTGGAGGCTCCGATTCTGGATCCGACTCAGGCTCTCGCGCGGGCCTTGCAGTAAAGTAGACCCAAGCATGATCCGCAACCCTCCTAACTACCTCCCACACAGCAATCACTGAAATTGTCCACAAGATCAAAAGCAAGTAAAGCGTCCAATTGTCTGAGTCGTTAGGCTCAGTCACCTCGACAACCTCACGGCTGCCCTCAGAAGGATTCACACAGAGCGAAATCACCATGGAGCCCAAGATCTTAGCCAACCTTTGAACCTTGGAAGGCAAAACCGAGCCCTTAGCGGAGCCCATCCCAAGCAAACCCCGAAGCAAGTCCAGTCGCGGAGCTTGGAGAGGTTTGGTTCCAATATCCGCAGTATTAGAAGCACCTTCTAGGTGCATCACCTCCCATTGGAATAAGGCGACCTTTTCCCTCAAAGCTCCTGCTCTAATTTTTAAATGTCTCGTCCGCCATGAATTCGTGTCAGCCGCCAGGACGCCAATAGCTGCTGAGTTGTCGTTCAACAGCACTTTTCGGTAGCTGCCTGCGGGATAAATCTCATCAAGAAGACAAGCTACGGCGTCGCCCATGTTGTGTCCCTGAATGGTGGAGATTAACTCCGCTTCACATGTCGATTGGGCAATAAACGGCTGACGACTCGACACCCAGGACACGCAACAACCACGCCAATAAATAATAACGCATTCTTGAGACCTCGACCCCTCCGGGGCGAACCCCGCGTCAGTGTGAACCTCTAAAAGGCCGCCGTCTTGCAAAGCCTTCTGAATCTCAGCCCTCTTCTCAGGGAGGGTCATCGAGAATCTCAATCCCAAGGATGACGTCGTGGCGAGGTAACCCAGGACTCCAAGCGCCGCCTTGCACGCTTCACGCGGCCTCCTTGACATAACAGACGCTATCCTTGAGCAGGAATACGCCACGTCAGGGCGGGTACGCACAGCAATCCACAATAGTTCGCCCACCAGTTGCTGGCATTCTTTCAACGCATCGCTGTCAGGCTCCACCTCGCCCTCCTGGGGCAAATGTCGGGCCAACGGCACCTGTTGCGGTACCACGTCAGAGTGACGATCCAACATACCGCGGACATACGACGTTTGATGTACACACAACTCCTCACCCTTCTCATCCCAATGCAACTCCAAACCGTCAAAACGAAGCGGCTCACTTTCTCCAATCCGACCTACAAACTCAACAGCGCCGCAATCCCAAGTCTGCTTGATACATCCGTAGATCGCTTTCAAATACGATTTTCGAGTAGCTGCCAAAAAATCATCTACATAAACGGCCAGCCAACCAACCAACACTCCGGCTTCAACAGCGTCCTCAGCCGAATCCACCAGGAAGATCAACCAAACGCTGGAGTCAGACACACAGGCCTTGAAACGCAAAGCGCCCGCCTCAACCAGAACAACCATGACCCTCAAGGTATCATTGCGATGCAACGACCAATCGCGAGGGCTAGTATCTAGCCCATACACCGCCAACTCAACCTTCCACTTTTCGCGAGCTGGCACAAGGCCCTTTCGAACCAACGATCGCGGCGGGACAGCGATCACAATCTGGGTCTTACCTCTTGCTGCAGCTCGAAGATCACGGGGCCGTGCCGGGGCATTCAAGAAGGCTGTTGACACATCCCACGTCGCAATGTCATGCTTGTGGAAAACAGCTTCAGCAAGCAGAACCCGGAGAAGACTCACGTCCACTCCTCCCGCGTAAGTAGCCATCCGCCGCTCCAAACTGCTCTCGCCCACATTTGGCAGCGCATTGCCGCACACCACAATACGACATTTGTAACGGCCGCTCACGGCCTTTCGCGTGAAAACAGTTTTTGACGGCACTTGAGTGACTTCCGCTCCCGACGCAACCCACGCAGCAATCGTGTCATCGTCCACCCGAATCAAAGCCTTCTTGGTCTCTAGCAACGACGTTAACTCGGCTTGTGTAGCCCTTTCCCAATTTTCATCCCACTCGGCCATCACCTCCTCATTCGTGAACGTTCTGGTTTGTAGGAATTGAGGGAGCTCACAAGCATTCTCATCAGCATCGCTCGTGCTGGGGATCATTTGGCCTTCAAGTTTACAAGCACGCAGCCAAGACAACTCTTGCTCAATCTGTTGCATCACCTCAGTGCCACTGGTCATTAGCTGGGCCGTCTCAGCAGCATCTGTGGAATTCTCTCCTCCACTTAGTTCTCCCTTAAGCTGCCTTGCTTCACGGCTGAGCAGCGCCTTCAAACCTCGCTGGCACAAGTCCGCATCAACCAACACATGACCGCTATCCAAGCAATCATCAGACGGGGCTCTCAACGGCAGCTCCGAGGCGATCATCCTACTTTCAACATCACACGTATCAACACAAGACAACGGGCGAAGCAAGCATCCCAACTCGCCAACTCCAAAAACTCGATCAAACCAATCCGGACCAGCGCTATCGTCATGCCCTTGCACGGCTTGAGCTGTTTCGGCTGAGCCATCGACGACCCAAGTAGGAGCTTCAACGAGTCTCCCCCCATCCAAGGCACAAAGTCGCTCTCCGGGCTTTAGCACATCGGCTGCTACGTACTCCCCTTCGGGGCTCGCAGCAAAAAATGGCATGCACTCCATGCAGCCTCGATCCATACACGCGCACGCTTGAACCCTGAACCCTTCGTTTTTATTTGGTTTTTGTGCTTTATCGTATTTATTTTGGTTTTTGGATTTTTCATGTTCATTGGGTTTTGGGCTTTTGTTTTCAGGAACAACTTGCTATCCAGGTCCCCAAACAAACCGCTTCTTGCGGCATCAGCTTCAGACTCAACATCAGACAAACTACCCACACCCGCTTCGAAAGCGGAATCGTGGTTCCAGGTTTTGCTTATCGGGGGGTGACGTGCTTCGAACGCAGAATCATGGTTCCAGGTTTTGCTTATCGGGGGGTGACGTGCTTGGACATGCGCTCCAGCAGAATCATGGTTCCAGGTTTTGCTTATCGGGGGGTGACGTGCTTGGACATGCGCTCCCTCCTCCAGCATACCACCCTCTCCCCCCTGATGAGCATCATCAGCATCGTCCTCAGAGATGGCAAGGCACAACTGATTGGCCGAAGGCCCAGGAAGCACAAAACCAAACTCACTCAACGTAGCTTTATGCTCTGCTGTAGTTTTGTTTATTGCTAGCAAACTGTAAGAGACCAACAACAGAACCCGGGACTGACCAAGAACCTGGGCCGAATGCCAGGATTTCGCATTGAGCTGAAGCGGCTCACGCTCCCGCAACCAACGCACCTGTCCAGCTTGCAACTCGCCGCCGGGCACCGCCCGAACTTCTACAGGTCCTGACAACTGATCACCCATTTGTAGCTGCGACCAAACGTACATCCCTGGTTTGGGAAGGCAAATTGGATACAGAACGTTGGAGTTGGGGATGTTATTGACGTCGCGGTGCGGGCCAACGTTTCCTTGCGTAAATAGGGCAACGGTGGTAAACGAAACCCCTGGTGCTACGGTCCGGATGACAGCAGCCAGCAAGCCGGCAAACCCAGGGAGTCTTGTCATACTGTTTGTCAGTCCCACCTGCCCTCCATGCCGAAAGAGTCCCCAGGTACCCTGCATCCCATCCCTTGTAGTGGCAGAGCAACTCGCCTTGGATTTTACCCACGCTGAGGCCTGCAGGAACTCCAAAGCTCGATGGAGGGCAAAAGGCTGCGTGGCGGCTATCACTGCAGCATGTTCATCTTCAGACAAAAAATGGCTATGCAGACGGGCTAACCTCGTCTTCAGCCTTATTCGTCGAGTGGGCTCCCGCTGATGTGTGGGAGCCGCTGGGGCATCCGTAGACAAAGGCGATTGAGCACTGTGGGTGGCAGCGGGAACATACGCTGGAGGGTTGGGGCACGTGAGAACGTCCCTAAATATTATCGTGGTAGCAAAAAACTCCCCCTCATCTGTGCGAATCACCCACGCTTGCGGCACCCCATAAACGGGAGCCAGCACCACAGCTGGCACCACCCGCTCTGACCACTGGTTTTTTAGCCTCCAAGATCTCTGACGCACATACACCTTGCACCCAAATGGCACCATCGGCACCACCGTCTGACCTAACCTTTTTAGGCCCTCCCGTAGCCGATGTTCTGTGGCCCAGCGCCACGCCAATGGCCACAAGTCCTTATCCAACTTCGTGGCCAAAAGATGGGTCCTAGTGAGTTGCTTGGCCATCGCAATGGAGCGTTCAGCACGGCCGTTGCTGCGCCAGTTATCCCCCAACGTGTTTGACAGCAAAATCTGCCGGGACGCCGCCCACTCCGCAAGGTGCTTGTTTTGAAACTCCAACCCTGCGTCCGAGTGGATACGTTGCACTTTGAAACCCAATGAGTGGATTCTTGTCTCTATTTTTCGAATAGCAGTAAGAACTTCCTTTGAGGCTTTGGATTTCAGGGGTTCGCAAAAGGTAAGCTCAATCACCGGCAACTCGCTAAGGAGATGAACCCCTGCATCATCCATGGGTTTTGGGGGTCCTTTGGATTCAGGTTTTTCCTCCCTCTCGTCATCGCTGACGCCAAAAATGTCATCCTTATCCTGGTCCCCAATGAGATCTTGCACCCCTTCCTCACTATCGAGCCGCTCTGGCAAAGAACCCAGATCCTCATCAACGCCAACCGGGCTCAGCCGCACCTTACGCGCCCGCGAGGGGACCTCAAGTTCCTCATCGCTAGTGGGAGCATAGGAAGGTGAACTCAGGATAGCGTCAGCACCTGATGCAACCGTAGCTCCTGGTTTCTGGAGGCCTCCAGCTTCTGGGTTTTCATGGCCTTTTGGGTCCTGGCTTTGATCTCTGGTTTTCAGGGCCTTGAGGTCTGGGAGGACAAAAACTGCTTGCAGCATGTATTTCACTTTACTGATACGCTCGTCGTACCCCGACCGGAACAAACCGGCCAAATCAATCGCAAGCACGTTGACATCCGGGATCATCCCTCTACAGTGACGCTTGTCCCTTGACCTTCCCTCAACACAAGCCCGACATCGTCGCCAGTAAGGGACATGACCCTGCTCCAAGTGGCGTCTCATCGCCTCTTCATCCGAATGCTTTACCGCCTTTATTTGGACACACTGAAAATCCTTGTCGAGGGACTCTTGAAGGGCCTCAAGGATCGATTTTACCAAACCTGGAGCCCAGGCTCCCCACTCCCTTGAGTCCTCACTATCCTTGGTCCACGAGGCCTGGACGCCTGAAGTCGCAACTGTGAGCCACTGCAACGGGAGATTCGTTCCGATAGTCGTGGGCTTTACCCGCGCATGTCCCAGCGGACCTTGATTGAGGTTTACCTGAGACCATCCGAGGTAACCTTGCAAGTCCTTCCACTCCTTAGTAGCAAGCAAACAAGGGCATCGACGATGATCCTCAATCTGGCGATACTCTACCGCGTCTCGAGGCTGCTCTACAAGACGGAACTCCAACCGTAGGTTGGATGAGTTTTTATTCCCGGGTTTTGAAATTTTGGTTTCCCCAAAATTCGCAAACATGAATTGCATGCCCCTCATGATCTCTTTTGGATTCTCTTTGTATGGTGGCCATTTTGGCGCAAGTCTTTAAATTTTTCTTTTCGGGGGTGGGTCTGCTATGGCCCCCTTCGGTGTGCCCACCTCTGTGGGCCTGGATAGAGACATTGAAGCGCTCCGAGCTGAGATCTCACGGCTGCACTCACGTGTTGGTCTTCTTGAGGAAAGACTTGCCAGAGGTTGGGATCTTGTTGCTGCTTTTGAGAGAAAGCTTTCTATCGTCAAGGGCCGTCTAGACAAGCTGCTTCGGCTCATCGTGGACTCGCTTACTACTTTGGGCCTCGAGTTTCGCATGCATCTGTGACATGATAAGCAGCAAAGATGCGATCGATCGAGTGCTCCTCGAGGAGAGGCACAAACAAGCTGGGACCTTGGCACTTTCTTTTCCTTGGGAGCAAGGGGTGTTCAAGGAAATCCTTGGTTCTGCATCGGGACAGGTCTCGCTCCCTACTGTGGATATTCCTTTGGATCTGCCCTCCTCTTCAGTTGCCACCCTGGATGATTTTGTCCAAGTTGCAAGGTCTGCATCTTCAGATGTTGTTGTTGTTGTGGCTCACTATCGAACCATTGTGGAGCGCGCCACATGGAGAGTGCGTTCGAAGATGGATGTTAATGAACAACTGGTTTTGGTCTGCCAGAAGTTTGATTTGATTCTTGCGCATGACTACAATCATTCCTTGGTGGGCCGAACTATCAGGGATCTACATGCGAACGACAGAGTGAATGTCATACTTGATGCTCTGGGAGGTCGTGCCATCAGCACTCTTCGGAAACGTTCTCATCAAGCAACACACTATGTCATATGGTGTCAGATGAGTGGGTTATGTGGCTACCCTCTGCGCTTTGAAGTGATTTCAGAATACACTGGGAGCTTACCGCTTTCGAAGGGTGCCATGCGAGTGACCAATGCTCTTGAGATTTTCAGATTCTTACAGCATGTGCTTGGGGTCGATGTTACTTTGCCATGCCTTGACCATCCTGTCCTCAAGGGAAGGGCCAGGAGAGAGGCGCTGCACAGGCCACCCCGTAAGCAGGCGCGGGCCTTTCTTGCGTCCGAGATCCTGAGACTTGAAGCCTTCATTGCAGATTACTCGAACTCTGCTTTGGACAGATTTGGTATAGGCTGCATGTTGTTTGCTGTTTTCTCCATTGCACGGTTGGGAGATTTGAAGGCCATTGATTGCTTCGTGCTTGACTTTGAGGAAGGCCCTGAGGCATATGGCTATATTGAGACCACATCCTACTCGCATAAGGCGCGCATGACGAGCAACTCCCAAGGGTACCGGATGAAGCTCGTTGCACCAGTGGGTGCCTGGGGGATCGACTTCGTTAAAGCATGAAGTGGGGCGGCCATTGACCGATGTTCGTCTGGGCGAGCCATTGGTGCCCGCTCTTGACGTCAATGGTGATTTCCAGATGAGGCCCATGAAGTCTTCGAACCTTGTGCGCTGGGTGCAAAGCGTCCTCAAAGGAGACGCATTCACTGGCCACAGCGCAAAAGCAACTCTGCTGTCATGGTTGTCCAAATGGGGTGGTCCGCCTGACGAGCGAACCACACTTGGTCATCATTCCCTTAAAGATCGCAAAAGCCTTGCTACATACAGCAGGGACTTTCAAGCAGGACCTTTGAGACTCCTCGATCGAATGTTGGCAGACATTCGAGCAAAGACCTTCCTCCCGGATTGCACGCGCTCAGGCCGATTCACTGTCGAGAGCGCCACGGATCGCAAAATCAGTGCTGAGCCTAGTTTCCAAGATTTTGGGTCAGAACCAGCAGATGCCTGGGAGTCGGAGTGGTATCGTGCAGTTGAAGCTCCTCCCTCCGATCCTGTTGCTGACGAGCCTGGGTGTGTCTCCCCCGAGCACGATGACTGGCAAGCCGACCTGGATGGTGATGCCCCGGCAGAAGATCAGCGGGAAGATGAGACGCTCCTGGAAGTGCCTGATCCTGGCTTGGAGTTGCATGCAGGCATTGGCGATCTTGATTGTTCCGGAGGTGAGCTCGACACCTCGTCATCGGCTTCTGATTCGGACAGTAGTGAAAGCAGCCCCGACTCCAGTTCATCGTGTGATACCAACCTTCAGCTTGCGGGGGACCACAGTTCTTCCGTTGTGCCTAAAGTGGAAGGGAGTTGTGTTCTGTATCAACACTGCAAAACTCGGACAATCCACATGATGCCGAAAGGCTCCTCTGAACGGAAATTCGTTTGCGGTCGAGTTTCGACTGCTGATCACAAAGTCTTCATGTCCATGGTTTGCACTCCTAACATGCGATGCAAACAATGCCTCAATGGCAGGCCCTTACGTGATGTCGGGGCATTGAGTGAAGCACTGCAATCTGCCCTGAAGCGACAGCGTGGGTAGGTGTGAGACGCAGTGTTGACTATTTTTGCCCAACTTGCCCTATGCAGCCTGTGCTTTACGCATGCAGCTTGCAATCCTTGCCGGATGTGAAAGGGGCTTATTGCAAACAACCACATGCCGATCCTTTCCGGATCAGGTGGTACAAAAGGCGTGGGCTGTGCGCACTAGTGACCTTCAATGCAATCAACCACATGCCGGTCCTTTCCGGACCAAGTGGTACCAAGGGCGTTGGCTGTACACCAGTGTGCGAGTGCCCTCGGCAGGTCCCACATGTGCATCCCACTGCTTGCCTGTGTCAGTCTCCACACATCCACCTTCTGGTCCTTTCCGGGCCAAGTGGTATTCGGGGGCTAGCAGTGCACCTTTCATGACTGGGCTCTAACAGCTCAGGTTTCAACTCTACTGCATGCAGTAGGTTGCTTTCGCATGTCATGCCGGCATGTATAGTTTTCTTTCCCGCCATCCAAGGCTTTGGAGGTTCTGGATGGTGAATCTGCCGCTGCTCGAGTATGCATGCCTTGTCCTACCGGCTTGCGGGGTCAGCTTTTCCATTTCAAATTGCCGCACTACCTTTCCTCTAGTGCACCGGAAAACCGCTTGCCAGCATTGCTTGCCCAGTCTGTTGTTGCAAGTGAAGATCTCACGTGTTACATCGCGTTCCTGCAGCCTCTCTGCTCTCAGCCATGACCAGCCTCTTGAAGTCCGTGGCGGCCTTCAAAGAGCGGGCCCTTGAGTGCGGGCTCACGGAAGCAGAGTGTGATGCTCTCGTCGCCCGAGGGGTGACGACGTTGTCAGCTGTGGCTTATGCGGTTTCGACCCCAGGTGTGAATCCCACTGAGCCAGCCCTCCGTGGGCTCCTGAACCAGGCTGATCCAGATCAAGTCACAGTGGGATCCCTTGCAGCCATACGACGCCTTGTCTTCGAAAGCCAGACTCTAGCGATAGCAGAGGTTAAACTGGCAATCGAGGGCTCCGATGGTGACAAAAGGTCGGAGCTTGCCCCAGCTGAGCGGGCCAGCCGCATTGCATCCCAAAAGACCAGGCTCGCAGGTTATGACCTCAGTGGCACCATGGAAGTGGCACACTCGTGCTACACCTATGTAGGCGCCATGCTTGACAATGACACCCCATTTTACCTTGAACCCCACAAGTTCATCACCCGTGCTCAGGAGATTGCCCACGAACGGCCGGGCAAAGAGATTGTCTTAGATGCTTCAAAGCTCACAGTGCGCGAGAAGACAAATTTCCATAGGATGCAAATCCAGAATGAACTGCAGCTCTCTCAGGCATTCACAAGACGAAGCCTTGCGTGTGATTTGATGGGTGTCGTCACCTTCCGTGTGCAGGAGAATTGGCAAAAGTTCCTGATGGACAGACTTGCTGAATCGCCACCTCCTGGTTTCAGGCGCATCACCATGGAGCAGGTTTTGCGCGCAGATCGTCAGGCATGGCAGAAGCTTGCTGAGATCGTGCCCTCCATCAAGCGCACAGCTGCAGGCACTTTACCCCTTGATGCGGTTTTCCCAAATCTCCCGAATGAAGGTGCCATTTCCTTTTACCTCTTGCCCACCAAGTTCAATGATCATGATGACAAGCCTCCAAAGTCTGGGAAGGGTCCCGGCAAGGGTGATGGCAAGAAAGGGGGGCGTGGTACGAAGCGTGATGCTGATGGTAAAGAGAAAGTTCAGCCCGAGCTGCCTGATGCCCTCAAGGACATCCCCAACCTTATGCGCACAACGGGCAAAGGGAAACGCTTGTGTTGGTCGTTCAACATTAAAGACCGTGGCTGTAAGCATGCCAAGCCCGGCAAGGCCTGTCGCTTTGGGCACCACCTTTGCATGAGGTGTGGCAAGGCGCATCCGCAATTCGAGTGTCCCTCAGGGCCCCCCTCTGAGTGAGGGCTCGTAGGGGCCGAGAGCTCATCCCCTCTCGGTCTCGAAGCATCGACAGCACCCCAGCTTCATGTTGCAGTTGATGACAGAGTTTTGCCGCCCCCTCCAAAGGATGCCGGGTGTCCGCCACAGTTTGCTCATGTTGCTGAAATCTTTGCATGTGAATGTCTTTCGAAAGGGAAGAAGCTTCAACGTTCAGATGTGGAGCATTTGTACGGCTTGCTTCCCAGCGAGAACTCCTCACCCCGTGAGGATCTTGGTGATTGTGGTTCTTCTTTCATCACTGGTGCTTTCTCCAAGGGAGGGATCGTAGGTCTTCGGTTCAATACCCGGGCCTACCCTGCATCTACTGCGTTGCTCTTTCAGTACCTCCGTCAAGAACTTCCTGATTTTGCGTGTAGCACGATTGCTCTTTTTAAGAATACCTTAACAGCTGTTCACACGGACAGCAGAAATGGGCGACACCCCAATGCTGCCCTGCCCATTTCATCCTTTTCCCAAGGCCAAATCTGGATCGAGAGCCCGTCGGGCACGCACCCGATGACCATCGATGATTCAGTAGTGCCTGGAGAGCTTTTGCCTGTGAATGAGAAGCCAGTTGTGTTTGATGCATGGCGCCTGCGCCATTGCACCATGCCCTGGAAAGGGACAAGGTTAATCCTTGTTGGCTTCAGTGTTGCTCGCTCGCATAGCCTGTCAGCGCACGACAAGCAGATCTTGTCCGCCGTGGGAGTGTGCCTTCCCCCTTCTGCGCATTCAACATGTACTGCCCCAAAAGCCCAGCCCGTTTCTTGTCAGGAGATGGACCACCTGGCTCAGGTCAAGCAACGACTGGCTGGGCGCCCGCTTGCAAACCTGTTCTTCATCCAGATCTTTGCCCGTGAAGGGGCGCTTTGTGCAGCTGTTCGCAAATCGGGTCTCTCTGGCAAAGGGATTGACTTCAAGGTCCAGGGTTCTGTTCGGTGTCCGGTTGTTCCCCTTGACCTTTCAACGCCCCAAGGTCTTCAACTTACGCTGAACATTCTCCAGCAACAGCCTGTTGCTGCAGTGCACATCACACCTCCACTGCATTCCTGGCACCACATGTTGCCTTCGGCCTTGCCTGTGGTCGATGCCACAGTGACGATCATCAACTCTTGCAGGGATCTGGGGATTCTGTGGAGTGTCTCTGGACCCTCCGCAACCAAGCTCTGGCCTCCTGTGCTGCTGGAGGCGCTGTCGTCAACCTGCGCAACACGTACGCAGCTTGATCTTTGTATGTTTGGTGCGGGTTGGAAGTTACCGACTGTGATCTTCCACAGCTTCAGTGCCCTGTGTACTCTGGGTGTGTCTTGCTCTGGTAATCACGCCCATAACATGAGTTCTCAGCCCAAACTCGGTTTGCCGCCCCTCTTCTGTGCGGCATTTGTGGAGTGCCTTCTCAAGCAGCTCTTCGATCTGGGTGTGCAACCCCCGGCAAAGTCTTTGCCTGAGTAACACATCAGCCTGTCACGTGCTGCTGCTTTGATGGTGGGCAAGCAGCCCAAGGGCAAGCGCCTCAGGCCCCTCGTCTCTGAGTTTCGATGCCTCATGACGTTGACTGGTCCTTCTGATGTGCTTCCTTCTGGCAAACTCCCCCGTGCATGGGAATCTACCAGCAGTGATGTTGTGCAACACCCCTGCCAGTTGCCTGCAGGCTCCAAATGCATCAGGTCGGTCCCGACGTCGGGGGGGGCTAATCAGGCCCTTCCTGCTGCCAGTGCGAACTGTACATATGGAATTCCCTGGTCCCCAGCTGAGTTTCGCGATGAGGCCCTTAAGAGGGGCCACCCCAAAAGACTGGAGTGTGGTGTTCCCGACCTCCTCAAGTCTGTCCTTGATAAAATGGTCTCGACCCCTTATGCTGAGATTGCCAAGGACCGTACGCAAGCCATGAGGAGGTGGCTTCTTCGTGCCAAGGAGTTGAGAGACACCGAGTCGCCCTTTGAGACTCCTCAGCACTGCCGCGAGATCTTGAAGAACAAGTCTATGTCCCTGTTTGCTGAGATGCTGGAGGGTGCAGCATATCCGGACAAAACGTTGGTGGAAACCATGTGTTCGGGCTTCGACCTCTTGGGCCAGATTCCTGCTTCCTCTGTGCTTCCCAGCAAACATACTGATGCAGTGCTCACCGTTGAGGAGGTTCGAGCCATGACCCCGGATGTTCGGTGTGCTATCCTTCAACCCACAAGCAAGATCAATGACCCCGAGCTCATTGCAGCGGTGCACCAACTCACCCTTGACGAAAGGGACAAAGGCTGGCTTCGTGGGCCGATCGACCTCTCTGCTATACCCGACGACTCGATCATCACCAGGCGGTTTGGCATCAAGCAAACCAGCAGCGACGTTCACAAAGGGCAGGTGACGAAAATCCGTCCCATCGACGACTTCACTCAGTCGCTTGCCAACCTGACCTGTGGCGCTACAGAAACGATAGCCCCCCACGGTGTCGACGTCATCTGTGCTGGCCTGTCCTATCGGATCAGACGTGGTAAACAACTTGGTTTCCGACCGAAGCTTGTCAGTCGGGCAATAGACCTGAGGAAGGCCTATAAGAATCTGCCACTTTCCTGCGAGGCACTCAGAGACTCGTATTTGGCAGTTCGCAACCCTCTGACTTCTACCTTTGAGTTTTATCAGTCGCTGGTCCTTCCTTTTGGTGCTCGCCCAGCAGTTCAAGGCTTCTACCGCGTAGCGGCCGGCATATGGCATCTTGCGCTTTTCTACTTTGCCTTACATTGGACACAGTTTTTCGACGATTATTTTCTTGTTGCAGGCGAGGCAGAGAAGACGCATGTGGACCTGATCCAGTCGGCATTCTTTGCCCTTTTGGGCTGGGAGACTGCCTCGGAAAAAGATTCTGGATTTGGATACGTTACTCGCGCCTTGGGGGTACAGATCGATCTGTCGGACTGCCGTCTTGGCCTGGTCAAGATTAGCAACACGTTGGCCAGGCGCAATGAGCTGGAACGGCTGATTGATGATATCCTGGCCAGCTCTTCTGTCTCGGGGTCCACCCTCACCTCCTTGAGGGGGCGGCTTCAGTTCTGCGACAACCAGATCTTTGGAAGGTTGGCATCTCTGAAGCTTCGAATCCTCTCAGGCTACTGTGATCGCAAGGGCCATATTCGCGTTGATGCACCCTTGAAAGATGCACTTAATTTCCTTCGAGAGCATATAGTGCTGGGCCCAGAGAGAATTGTCCACTGTGCATTCAGGAACTGCTTTCATGTGTACTCCGATGCCTCCTTTGAGCCCAGCGGTGGTGGAGTGGGTGCCCTGGCTTACAACTCGCTGGGTCTCCTCCTTGGCTGGTTCGGCGAAGAGCTCTCCTTGGAGACCATGGCTGTCATTAATCCAGATGGGAAGGCCACTCTCATCTACGAGCTGGAATGCTACGCTGCAGTCATGAGCCTCCTTAGGCTAGGGAGTTCGTGGAGCGATGCTGATGTGATACTCTTCTTGGACAACGAGGCCTCGCTAGCCTCCTTGATCAACGGGAGATCCGATTCGTTGTTTGTGCAAAGCCTTCTCGGTGCTCTCTTTGAGTGGGAATGTGAAACCAGATGCAATGTCTGGTTTGAGCGAGTTCCCAGTCATAGCAATCCAGCCGACGATCCCTCTAGAGGCATCTTTCCGATGCAGACCGGACTTCGTGCAAGGCTTGACGCCAGGAGCGATCTCGTGCTTCACGCCGTTGGCCCTTCCTAAGGGGGGGGGCCTCGCCAACTTGTTCTGCACTTCGTCCGCCCATGTGAAAAGAAGAGAACCGAGTGCTGGTGAATTTTCCACTTTCTTATATTCTTGATTTTTTGTTTTGTACAGTTCTTTATTTGAAGAAACCTGACCTCTTCCCTCAGCCCCGTTTTGTTAGTGAGCATTTTGCCCGATTGCCTTGATTTGGAATCGGATGGGAATCTCTCGTTGTCTTTACTAATATCATTGTTTGCGGAGAAACCCGAAGGAATAAGGCCATACAGGGGTCCCAGGCCCAAAACCTCGTTAGAGTCTTTGGCGGCGTACAGAAGCGCGGCAGTCCTGACCCACAGTACGTTATCTCCCTCAACTTTCTGAGCCTCAATCCAAGGGATACCCTCAAGACCCCACCTTTCAGGACCTTCCCGAACAACTGGAGGCCCCCCCGGGCGGGAGCGAAGCACCGAATAGGTTCGGCAGGGGGGCCCTGCCAGAAGAATCTTGATCCTTCCGCAGAGCGCCAAACTCAAAAGACTACTAAACGTCTGCTCCAAAGCCAAGTCTTCCTGGAGATCGATATCCAGCAAGGCCATGTGATTCCGATCTGCGAAGGCTTGGAAGCACTGGCGCGTGCTCCCCGCGAACAGGTTCAAGAGCACCCCGTTACGCGCTAACAGGAGTTGTCGCCTCTTCCGGCGGTTCCAAGCCCATGTCTCGCCCCGGGTAGCCACGCTAGCAGCGGTGCGGTCGAGCAACTCATCAGGAGCTTCAGGCACCACCAAACCCAACCAAGCCCGAAAAAGCCCTTCAGTAGACCCCCCTTCCTTGGCCCGTTCACGAATTAGCTTCAGAAGTTCCTGGGGATCTTGGGGCGTGACGTCCCGCAAACCTGTTCAATCTCCTCAATCATACTCAGCGCCCATGCTTTAGGCACCTCCGGGCAACCCGAGGACATGTCTACTGGCACACGACGTCCCTTCTTGTCCTTCAACTCCAAGCCCGAGTCACCCACCCAACGCAGTTTGTAACCTGCCCTGACCAGCAACGCCATCGAAACAATAGGTGCTACCGGACCCGGGCGGACTATCGTACCTGTTCCGTTAATGTACATCATCTCCGAACCCACTGCCAGGTTGACCAACCGGCGACCACAACAGTCGAGTTCCCCCGGCTTAGCCTGGCGCATACATACTGAGGCACCACTGTCAAGTAACCCCTTAGCCTGATCGTCACAGACTACTGCCCTAAGCTGAGGTCCTTCCGCCAAGTCCTCAAACCGGACTCGCCCGTCCCCAACCCAACGATCATGCCCCTCACCCGGAACACCCCGATCGCTCCCCAAGGCCTCCCGTGCTTCCCGCATCGCCTTTAGGGCTATCTTCTTGAGGGCCTCAGTGGCCTCTCGGAGCAGCGCTGCCTGCGCCCCTCCCTGGCTCTGGGAAACCGAAGATTCTGCAGCACCCTCGCCCTCCCCCGAACCTTGGCTCACACCAGTTTTCTTGATGCTCGCCTTTCCCTTAGCCTTTCCGGCCAGCGCCTGCGACTCCTCCTTAGTTGCTTCACCCTTTTCACTGGGATCCGCATGGGGGCAGGCTTCTTTGCGGTGCCCTTCACCAGAACACCTGAAGCAACGACCACTCTGAATCGTTACCGCTTGGTCGTGGCGGAACCCACACTTTTGTCCCATTTTGCAGCCTTGCTGCGTAAACCAAAACCCACAAGGTTTCCCCTTTTTCTTATCTTTCCCTTTTCCTTTACCTTTAGGGTCCTCCTCGCCAGTCAGCTTAGCGACCCTAGGAGGCTTTTGACTTTGATCTTCAGGAGCGGAAATCGCTAACATGGAAAACTCAGATTGGAGGGCCTCAGCGTACTCCTTCACATTCGCTTCAGTGGGCGAATGGTCAATGGCCAATCTAGTTCGAACCACTGACATTCGAAAGTTCACTTGAGGGTAGCGGCCTAGCAAATTGTGACTGAGGCTGTCCAAACCTTTCATCAAGATTGAGGGATCCGGGATTGTCACTCCCATGGATGTTGCGCGCACGACGTGACGACTCCAAGCACGAAGTTTATCAACGAGATCGCGAGGGTTTGCTCCGTTGCCCGGCTTACTTAGCGCATCCAACAACCTAGATCTCTCAGCTAGCCCACCCGGCTGAAAAGTCTTCAGAATCACAAACAACGCATCAAGACATGTTAAGGAACGCGTGGCCAACAATTCTTCTTTGATGCTTCTGGGCAAACTTGAGTGGATCATTGAAAATGCCCTTGACTCCAAACGCACATATCGCTGGTCCTGAAGACGCAGGCTTGGAATGGCCTTTATCCCTGCGCGCTCAATCGCAGGAGCGCTCGACCACTTTTCATACGCCGCCTTAGCCTCATCAACGAGCATCTGCCACCACTCCCCGGACCCCGCACTCAAATCAGACATGATGACCTTGATTTGAACAAGCCAGTCGCCCGCCTTAACCGCAGCGTCTTTATCCGGCTCACCCAACTCCGGCACCGACCACCACACCCGATCCCCAGGAGTAAAACGATCCCTACCTCCAACTTCCCTCCCTGGGCACGGCGGAGCTGGAACAGCAGTAACTTCCGAATAGAATGTATGGCTTGGAGGGGCTGGAGCCCTTTGAGGAGGTGAATCAGGGGCAGGTCCCGCTGGAGGCCTAATCTCAGTGCCACCTGGCGTATGCTTACTGTTCGCGAGCGAATCGTGTTTTATCGCTTGCTTCCGAATTGCCTCAAGAAAAACGGCGGGCCGTTGTTCTTGGTTTGAAGCCAAAAGTTATTTTATACTTTGCATGGCGTCATGTGCAGCAAACAACTTGGCATGTTGATTGTATTCTTTACTGCATGTTGCGAAGTTTGCTTGAGCTCTTCATGTGTGCAGCACTGGCTCCATCGCAGTGCGCAAAATTTTGAGACCCCGCCATGGTTTCCGTTTGACGGCCGCTACAGAGCGGGATAATAAGTACTGTGCATTGTCTACACCTCGTGCGCCGCGCGCTGCGCGCTGCATTAAATTTGCGTGCATCTGGTTTCCCCAGGCCTCCTGCAGTCTTCCTGTGCCACTACTGGGTGGGGGGCTACATGCGTTTTCGACGCCTTCGTACGCCCTTGCGTTGTGCACATGGCTCAGCTGAGCGGTTAAAAGGGGGGAAAATCCGAGGTGCGCCTCAGGCAGAATGCTCATAGGTGCTTTGCGGCCAGCAGTCTCCCCTCCATTGCTGGTGCAAGTTCAAGAAGGCATCTTTACGTATGTCCTGCAACAGCCTGGTGAGGATCAGGCACGCAGCAGCCGTGCTTCTACGAACCAGCGCCAGTGAGCTCTGGAGCACGATGGCCTTACGTGGTTCCAACCGAAGTTTGGCGTCTATGGCTTTGCCTGGCAGCTTGCAGTCTTTGGCCTTCCAATGTTTCAGCCGGCGCTCAGAGAAGATTGCATTGCTGGCTGCTTGCAGTCATGCTTGAAGGATGTGGCGTTGCCTGGCAGTTTGCAGTCCTTACGCTGCAGTCTTCATCATTGGACGTGACCTGAATGATGGATGTGATCTCTGCAAGTGTGTGTATATTGTGGCGTTGCTTGACGGCGTGCAGTCCTTGGGTTCCAGGATGCTTTTACCCGGGCATGGCCCGCCTGCTGCTTGCAGTTGAAGTGGCCTTGCCTGGCAAATGGTCGTCCCGTTGGAGTCCTTGAGCTTCTGATGTCGAGGTGATCCACGCAAGGATGTGGCAGGCAGATGCGTTTTCTTCGTTTCGAAGCATAAGGGACATGGTTGTTTCTTATACCTGCAGGCAGTTCGTGGCAACTGAAAATTAGTTCATGCACCGGCTTGTTCGGAAAGGGTGCGCTTGTTCAGAGACGTCAAGAATCCTCCAGCGGAGACTGAAGCGCGGGACTCGAGATTTGAGTGAGCCATTGTTAGCTGCCATGCCTGCCTGACGCTTCGTCCTCCATTTCGTATCCCCAAGGAGTGCACCGACCCTTTGAGCCTCAGGATTTTGTATCTAGTGCCGGTCAATTTCTTTACCCAAGCCATTTGATGCAAGTCACTACAAGGAAGTAGGGTGTCTGGGACAGGCACCTGTGCTTGTTTCAGGTGTTCGCTGCTAGGTCCGGCCTGTCCCAGGGTGTCGACCTGGCAGGGTATTGCTGTTGCAAGGGAAAGTTATGTGTTTGCAGTGTGTTGAAGGTGTGCAGATCGATGGCGAGGTGACAGGCAACTGAGGAGTTTGTGATGCGACAGCTTCGCCCTGCATCGCGCATTGCATAGGGCCACTATGGGTCCCAAGGATGCAGCTGTCCTGTGCTTCATGAGCCAAGGGGGCTCAGCCCACGTTCGTTTGAGGTGCTTGAGACGTGTGTGTTATCGGACGTGCCGTCTTGTTTGTGCATAAGCTGCCGTGACCCGACCACCGATATGGATTCTTCAATAGCGAACCAACCCGTGCTGAGGCGTGCTGTACCACCATGTCCCCCCACGTCCCCACCGTGTGCCAAGCTTGCGTCCTGCTAAGCGATTGTGGGTCCAAGCAGGCCCAGATGTTTTGCGGTGTGTCAGCGCTGCCGACAAGACTCTGCGCTGCGTCGCAGCAGAGTGTGCTTGCAGCTGTTGGCAAGCTTAAGGTCATGCGTTCCGTGTGAGCTCCGCAAGCAGCTTGCACGCATATCATGTTTCGTGGTTGCTCTGGAGCTACAGACAGTCTCTAGACGTCCTTCGATACAATGCCGAGTGCACTTTGTGCGCAACAGCAGGTACCAAACGGCTTAAGACGTGATTTTCGTTTCCAATCTGTCTTGACAGACTCAGTCGTTCACGGGTCGAGTACCGTGGGGTACAGGGGTACTGTACGGTGAGTGCACAGCTTCGGTGTGATGCCTTGGATGACGTTGAGGTCCTTGGGTTTCTGGGCGACAGGTGTTGCTATGTTAGTCGACTGTGGGCGCGGTGAGCTGTCACAGGCGCCCGAGAGCACCACCTTGGACATGCGAGGTCTTGGTGAAGCCACGCGTTCAGCGTGCTCTCAGTATGACACAGGGGCGACAGCGTCCTCTTTCTTGGCGGACTTGTCGGTTCGGGAACGATTGCAGTCCTCATGTTCTCTTCTGTGTATTGCCTGATCGCATCGGCAAGCGACGTGCGCTATTCAGTCTACTTCCCCTCCATGAGCAAGTGCTCTGCTCGCGCACTGCAACATACTGCCCAGCGTCCCCAGAACCTCAGATCTCATACAGGGATGAGGCAGATGACGGCCAACGCCTGAGTGTGATGGCCGTACATGCAACGCACGCCTTCTCTTCTTTGCTTGACTGTGAGCACCGTCTTGAGGACGTTGAATTGCCCAAGGTCTTGCAGTCCTTGACTTTTGGACAATTCTTCAACCAGAGCTTGAACAATGCAGCCTTGCCCGGCGGCTTGCAGTCCTTAACCTTTGGGTACCATTTCAACCAGAGTTTGGACAACGTGACCTTGCCAGGCATTTTGTTGTCCTTGAGCTTTGCGCACGATTTTACCCAAAAACTTGCATAATGGCATAGTGTTTTCATGTCCGGCAGCTTGCAGTCCTTGAGCTTCGGAGCGTGTTTCATGTGACCTTGCCTGGCAGCTTGCAGTGCTTGCAGCTTGACCTTTGGAGAACGCGCGTTTGGAGAACGAGGCCCGGCCTGGCAGCTTGCAATGAGTGGCCCTCGTGGTCCAACAAGAGCGTGGAGCATGTAGCATGCCTGGCAGCTTGCAGTCCTTGAGCTTCGGAGTCATCAGCGTGGCATAGCATGACAGCTTGCAGTCCTTGAGCTTCGGATTCGGTTTCGCCTGAGAGCTTGAAGAACGTAGCCTTGCCTCGCAGCTTGTAGTCCTGGAGCTGTGCTGCAGTGGTCGCGCGAGAGACGCGGACACCATGGTGCTGTTTCAGTTCTCATGCCCCCAGCCATGTGCGCGCGTCTGTTTGTCGAGCATCTCACCACATGCATCCTGCGGTTCCTTGGGTTCCCCAGGGATTTCTGAACCAGGTTGTCCCGAAACCTTTCTGGTTTCTCCAAGGATTTTTGAACCAGGTTGTCCTGAAACCTCTCTGGGTTCTCCTGCGATTTTTGAACCAGGTTGTCCCGAAACCTCTCCAGGGATTTTTGAACCATGTTGTCCCGAAACCTCTCTGGGCTCTCCGGGGATGCAGTCCTCGAGCTTCGGGGTCGGTTTCAAGGGGCTTGGAGAATGCGGCCTTGCCTCGCAGCTTGCAGTCCTGAGCGTCGGCTTCGGTTTCAACCAGAGCTCGGAGAGAGTCACCTTACCTGGCAGCTTGCAGTCCTCGTGCTTCGGGGTCGGTTTCAGCTGCAGAACCCAACAGGAAAGTCGGCAGTTTCAGTGAGAGCTTGGGGAATGTGGCCTTGCCTCGCAGTTTCCAGTCCTGGAGCTTCGGAGTCGGTTTCAGCGAAAGCTTGGAGTATGTTGCCTTGCCTGGCAGCTGTTGTTTGCGGCGAGTGAGCAGTCGCTGGGTGTGGCCTCTGAGGACGTCTCCAGGGGATTGCGCGCCACACGTGCGTAAAGCACACGCAGTGGTGCTTGCCCCTGGGTGGTGTTGCCCGTGAGGGGTTCTCCGGTGGCGTATAGTTGCGCTGCCTGTCTTACGCGGCCTCTGAAAAAGTTCTCCAAAGGTTGCGTGCCTCACGTAAAAGAAGCTGTAAGCTGATGTCAACCAAGGGGCTCATGAGCCCTTCTCTCATGCGTGAGGGTGAAGGCGCTGGTGCCTTGTGTGTGAACCAAGGGGCTGTCTTCACGTACCTGACAGCCGTTGTTCGCGGCGAGTGAGCAGTCGATGGCATGGAGTGTGTATGCGCCGCGCTCTACCGTGTGACCTCTGAGGCAGTCTCCAGGAAGCTGCGCCGCACGTGCGTGCTGCACATGCAGTGGTGCTTGCCCCTGGGTGGTGATGCCCATGAGGGGTTCTCCAATGGCGCAGAGTTGCGCTGCCTGTCTTACGCAGCCTCTGAGAAAGTTCTCCAAAGGTTGCGTGCTGAGGACATCTCCAGGGGATTGCGCGCCGCACGTGCGCGCAGCACACGCAGTGGTGCTTGCCCCTGGATGGTGTTGCCCGTGAGGGGTTCTCCGGTGGCGTATAGTTGCGCTGCCTGTCTTACGCGGCCTCTGACAAAGTTCTCCAAAGGTTGCGTGCTTCACATAAAAAGAAGCTGTAAGCTGATGTCAACCAAGGGGCTCATGAGCCCTTCTCTCATGCGTGAGGGTGAAGGTGCTGGTGCCTTGTGTGTGTGAACCCAGGGGCTGTCTTCACGTGCCTGACAGCCGTTGCATGTTCGCGGCGAGTGAGCAGTCGATGGCATGGAGTGTGTATGCGCCGCGCTCTACCGTGTGGCCTCTGAGGCAGTCTCCAGGAAGCTGCGCCGCACGTGCGTGCTGCACCTGCAGTGGTGCT